TTGTTGACTTTTGAAAATGACCTATAATGTTGAAATTGATAACTTTTTGTGAGAGCATTTCTTGGACTTGAAGTGTGAAGAGGAGTTATAGGAAATGTCATTCTATTCAAAATGAGCTTTGGATGGAATTTTTCTGATAATCCATGTGAAAGTTATGCCCTGGTCAAGTTACAGTTGACTTTTTCAACTGTCCAAATATGGAAACTTTTGCATCTTGAGACTTTTTGAGCCAAACTTTGAGAATCATGATCAAGCATTGATCAAATGATGTTTGTGGCTTCAAAATGATATGTTGACCAAAAATTTGAACTTTTGACTGTCAAATGACCATTTTGCTCCTACAGTTGACTGTAGTGCAATTAGGGTTTTTGACTGTGCAATTTTGTGTTGTAAGTCTTGACACTTAGCATATGGGTGCTTGACCATGTTTGTAGGCATGTGGGACTTGATTGGACCCTTGGAAACTTCATTTTCTTTGTCAGAACCAAAACCCTAATTTTGACTGCTTAGGAGGCCCTTGAACTGTGCAACCCTTGGGGAGATTTTGAAGCTTTGACTTGGCAAATTTTGAAGAATATGGGAGGGCAAATTTTGGGGTACAACAATGTGTCTGACACATCATCTATGTTCAACATTTGATATAAGCTCATCCATTGTAGGTAATAGACCCTACAATTATAAATGATCATAACATAAATAGAAATATCATTTCAGATCAGAAATGATAACACAAAAATATCATAACAGAAACATAATATAAAAAACAAACCTTTTGTTGGTCTGAAATGAATGTGTATGAGAGACACTCATTTCTACATCCAATGTCATTAATAAGCAGCTCCAAAAACCATACCTAGCTATCCTTATTTTCACCTCCACTACTGCAAAACCTATTGGGAACATTTGATCATAAAGTCCTATGAAATGTATATATAACTTGAAGCTCTCCTTACTTGTTGCATAGCATATATATAGCCTTATGAAATGGAGTATTTGATCATCAATGCCTTCTTGAGAATGTTGAACATTTAGTTTTACTGTTGACCCTATTTTTGTTCTTAATATCTCATGACAATAGTTATAAATTCTATTATAATCCCCTAATATAAATTCTATTTTTGTTCTTATAGTCTTGTTGACCTATAACGCCCTGTACATATACGTCTAAAATAATATGTAGTGATGTTATTATATGGTACATAAAATCATACAAAAGCAGGAAATATGACATGACAAAACATATACAATTTAACTCTACAACTCTTAATGTATACAATGCATATGTCTCCAAGTAATGCATAGCGGAAAGATAAGATCAGAAAAGGTCTTCATGTCATCTACTCATTTCTACTTCTATTATCATGTGAAGATTTTATGGGAGGAGTCGCGACCTGATGAAGCTACATGGGAACTTGAGTCGGAGATGTGGGAACTTTATCCCCGTATATTCTGGTAAGTTATGAATTTGAGTGAATTCTATTTAGGGGGGAATTTAATACTCGGTATAACTATCGCCTAATGACTAACACTGATGAATTGTTAGTGAAATAATTAGGAGATTAGGAATACTAAACACACTAATTGACCTATGTGGAGAAAATGAACTAAATGAGGGGAAAAGGTTATTATGGTCAATTTATCCCTTAAATAGAATCCTAAAGACTTGTTTGGTTCCACACTCTCATTCTCACTTTACTCAATTCAGAATTTTGGAGAACTAAGGGGTGGAACATGTGAAAGTGAGAGAAGTGGAAGGGAGAACAACTCCAAGCCTTCATTATCTCGCCTTGCATGCATCAAGAGTTCACCATAATCAGAGATTCCTCTTCATCTCCTTATGTTTCAGCATCTTTATATCAATCTAAGGTGAGTACCATAGATAGGAACTTGGGGGAAATTTAGGGTTGTACGATTGGGAAGAAGGGTTGTGAAATTAACCGTGGAAGCATGTTAACTACTTGATTTTATTACCTAATTGATTAAATTAGCACATGCATGTTATATTTTACTTATTTCTATTGGTTGTTGAGTGAATGGAAGGAAAAATGGTGGTTTTGTATATGGGTTTCGATGTTGTTGCTTCTATTCATTTTTCTGTGTTTAGGTACTTTTGCTTAGCAAACTAACTAGTTCCCATAACTGTGTTTTCCTCTGTTTGAGTTCGTTGGGACTCGCTTTATTTCTCTTAGCGAAGTCCCCTTCGCTACTTATTTGTTGAGTGAACTCACTTGAACTGGGAGAAGTTCCAATTATGTAGGGCTTCATTGGAACTCTCTAGACCTTGCTTAGAGAAGTCAACTTCGATGCCATTCCGCTGAGCGAACTTGCCTGGGTTGTGAATTGGTTCAGTTCTAAGAGAGTTTGTTGATACTCGCTAAGCGAACCTTAATTACCAGAATTTTATGATTTGATTCCCCTGAGTGCAATTATGTTCTGTAACGCGAATTGGATGCCTCCTTTGTCTCTCATGACTCATAGTACGTGTTGTAGATTTATAAATGCTATGATGTGATCACTTTTATGCAACTCTTATGTGTATGACTAAGTAAATGCATTGTGTTGATAAATGTTGTGGTGTGATCACTTGATTAGCTTGTTTCTGTTTGTTTCGGTTAAACGTTCAGACGTGGCTGTGATGTATGCTTGAATCGGAGTAGACATATGTTATTAAGTGGTAAATCACCTGAGTGGATGGACTTAGTTTCGAATGGAATATTGTTGAGATGTTCTTGTGAGGGTATAAAAGGATGTATTCCCATTTGATGTTAATACATCAGCGTTATCGGTATGTTGTACCACCCAGACTACTAATGCGATGTACTTGTGATGGTTTAAAGGGTGTATTCCCACTGTTGTTAACACATCAACATTTCTAATATGTCATGCACAACTGAGCTATCGTTATGATGAGCATGTCGGGGACTTATAGATGTTAACACATCAGCGTGCTTGGTATGGTGGGGTTAGGATTTCGTGTACGCAATATCACTACAGACTCACCTCTAGTGATTCCACGTAGGCAATATCATTAGGCTTTCTCCCAGTGGGCTTGTGTAGTCATGTAGACGAGTTTGCGGTAGTTGTTAAAACATTTGTGTATTGATGATTGACAGGGTTGTGATGCCACATAAGCAATGTCACTTTGTTAACTTGTCACATATAGGGTTTCACTTTGGATTCATTTGATTCATCATGCGGTGTGCATGTGTAAGTTTCTTAATGCTAGGCACAAGGAACTCACTGAGAGTGTGTTTGTGTGGCCTAGGTAGACGGGTAGATACTACTTTTGGACTCCTCGTACACGGGTACGAGTTTGCATACTTGGTTGTGTTGTTTCGGTTGTGTGTTTGATGCTTTTTACATTAAGTAGTCAAGGGACTCCCAATTATAATGTATGTGTTGATGTGTATTCATGTACTTGACAGTGAGGAAACCCCGAATGAATGGAGGATCCGTTGTGATGCATATACCCTATTGGATCGAGAGGACCCATAAGATAGGGATTCTCTGAGATTTAGTAATCTCACATCAATCTTATTATATCTTGTTCAAGTTGTTCGAGGCAGGATAAAGGCAAAAGTAGGATGCCCTAGCTTGCTTGAAGATGTTTCCTGGATATATCTTATTGTGTTTTGAGCTTTTAGCTTTTGTACCATATGGATTATGTATTAGTACCTATGGAATTATACTTTTTGGCCATGTGTATTCGGCTTTTGTGCATTGTAGTGATACTTTATCCTATTCCGCTGCTTATGTATGTCGTTCATGTACCATACTATAATATCATATGCATATTATTCTAGACGTGTATGTATGGGGTGTTACATGACCCCTACATTCCACTTCTTTTGTGTTTTTTTACTTTATTTTCTTAATCTTCACCCTAGGATTTCTTTTCAGGGAATTTTGAATCCTTTTGTTTAACCTTTTAGTACTCAACATCTTCACAATGTACTTTCTACTACAACTATGAATGTTAACTGCCTTTTTTAGTTTCTAAGAATCCTCATTTGGCAACTTAGCACAATATGCTTTCCACTCACATCCATCTTTACTTCTAACCATTACCCTTAATTTGTCTTTTAAGTGAACTTCAAGTTTACACCAGATTGGACTGCATATGAGGTTATTGCTTCCTTAAAATCACCTTTGGTACTAAAATACATTCCTACCTCCCATTTGTAATTGGACATGTCTTTTTGCAACTTGAACATGGGGTATTTCTTTCTTCTAACTCCAATGTTATTATCACTCTTACGTCCACTTTCTAGCTCTTCACTCTCATTATCATTCCTTTAAATTCTTCCTTGTCATTTTCTGACTTTTTTCCCATTTTTTTCTTTTTTCCTTTTGATCATCTTGTTCATACTCAATTAGATTATCAAGTTCATCTTCCTCAAAATCATCATACTCACAGATTCATCATTGTTCTGGACTGGGCCGCCCTGGCCCAAAGCAAAGATAAAGGCCCAATCCAACCAGACTCCTCGAGGAATGCGCACCCGCGGATCACCGCCGACGTGCCCGACCACAGACTGTAGCCATGCCCGCCATTGCCCGCGACACATGGTGTCCCCGACCAAGGGAACTCCAGCTCGAGTCCTGCTCGAGCACCCTCCTCGTAGGGCAGATTCCGTCCTCTCTGGCCGTTATCGAATCATCTAAACTCCGGAAAGACCGCGTCTTCGTCCCTTCTCATTCTTCGCAGAGCATCACCAGGAAGGGGACCACGTGCGGGGCCCCACTACACACGTAGAACCTGGCAGTTCCTTTATTGGGCCAGTTCTGGTCGGTCCAATGAGGGGACCTTGGCCCAGCGCTGGGGGCTATAAATACCCTCTGTTCCTAGAGGGTTAGGTATTCATCTCTTACGCATCTATACACTTTTGCCTGCTCATTTCCTCACTCATTTTAGCATCGGAGTGTCTTACAGGTATCCCCCCATCTCACTCAAATTTTGCCCGAGCCAGTCGTGACGGTCTAAGTCTGATCAGGTAAGATCAATTATCAAAAGTTATCTTCAAAGCACTATCATAATTGAAGCTCTCACCCTCGATATCATTAGAACTAACATCATCTTCCACATCACCACCCTCATGCACATTATCATGATTTGCCCCAACTTCCTTCATCTTAGCTTCCTTCAACTCAGATTCCTTTGCATCAGCTTCCTTCAACCCAACTTCCTTCAATTCAACTTTCCTTCATCTCATCTTCCTTTAACTCCCCACTAATTACTTCTTCATAGATTGCAACAAGCACTTTTTTACCCTCAACATGATCTACTTCTATGTCATCAAGGGGACCATCATAATACTCAGGCTGAGAAAAAGGGTGGTGAATATATATATCAACACTTTAATGCACCCTATAAAGATTAACAATCTTTAAGACACTTTTGTCATCAACCAACACATTAATCCCAAATATGGGATCCATGTAGTATATTGTCTCAAATTCCCTATAACCTAACTCCTTGAAGCGACCTAACAACTCAAAATAATTCCACCTCTCAACCTCTACTTCCAAATCATCATTTGTTCCTCCTTCGTACACACTAAATTCTTCATCAATGAATTCACCACTGTGATAGATTTTGAGATGTATATATTTGTCCATTTCAACCTAAACCCTAAACACAAACACTAAACATTAAACACCTAAATATAGAAAGGGAAAAACCCTAAAAATTACAATATTTTACAATTGTAGAAAGATTTCGTGAAACAAACCTGTAATCAACAATGATATTTTCGATTTCACCTTCGAACATGCTTTCGTTTTTGCCTACTCTCCTCCTTTCGCAAATCGCCAGAGAGTCCTCCTTGGTGAATCACCTATAGTTCTCCCTAGGGTTCATATGTCATTCGTGCTATTTTTGAACAAAAGCCTTTCAAATTCTTTCTAAATATAATTTCATATCCACCTCAGCAACACGTTTACGCCACTTGTATCTATTTTTGACTTTGAATAACAGAAAGGTCTAACGTGAAACTATTTGAAGAATTAAATAATCTAATTGACCTCTTTTAAAATTAAAGTGCCAAATTAGACCCCAAGATATAATTAAAGGAATAAAAAGATATTTTGTGTTTATTAAATTATAAATGTAAGATTGTGTTTACATATTCATGAAATTCGATTTCATATTATCCATTTTTTAAAACACTGTTTGAAAGCTACCTTTTTAATAGCTTTTTTTTTAAATAAAAAATTAATTATTCCTCTAACTCAATGTTATTCGAAATCTCATGTTAAAATCACAAGAGTCCAATTTCTACAAATTTTTCTTAACTCATTACTTCTATTTCAAACTTTCTACAAACTTTTCTTCTTAACAAAACATTCGCACCTATATTACACTATATGTTTCTGTAGCGTCCAACATTCCACATTTTCAACACCGTCGTTCTTACAACTGTCTAACTAAACATTGTGTTACAATTATTCCTAGTTATTATCACTCTGGATTATTTTCATTCATTGGTTATTTAATCCAATTGAAAACTGAAATTCATTAATTTAATTAATGGTCTTTGATGTATTTTAAATGTTTGCCGTGTATGCTAATATTGCATATATGAGCAAATTTAAAATCTTGAATTACTAAAATGTGACTCGGTATAATTATATCTTTTTATGAGATAGTATGGTACACAAAAAAGAAACTACACTTCGAGATTTGTAAATACTAGCTAGTTTGTTTAGGTGTACTACAAATTTGTGTGAAACTACATCTCACAAACTTTAACAAAAAATGATATCGACAAGAATTAACCTAGATTTTCTCACACTAGAATTTAATCATCTAAAGTGAATTTAGTGATATAAATCAATAACAAATAAATTTCAATAAACTAATTACTTTTCAACAAACTCATGATTTTTTACATTATGCACGCAACAATTGCAAAAGAAAGAAATGAAAAAAAAGTGCAATCTCAGCATCTATTACAATTAGGCAGTCCCAAATTTGTCTAATGGAAGAATGATTATACATCACTATTCACAAGAATTAAGAGACTTACAAAACAATCTACCTACAAGATTTACTTACTCTCCACTAAATGAAAAGGATATCTATCATTTATCATATTTTAATTGGAATAAGTACAACTATATCCCAGTATTGGGATTGTTCCCTGCAAGGATTAAAGAAATTTCTAACCCTCTGCTAAAAGCCTGGTTAAACATGAGGCGAGTTTGAAATGTTGATACAAATGGAAACCATGAAAAGAATGCGATGGGCACAAAGATGAGCATGCCCATGGCAGCGTCATATAGTCGAGCAATCGATCGAACAAACTTCCATAGCCCTAGCTTCTTCATGACAGGCTTCCAAGCAGCAGCAATCTATACAAAGGACAATCAACATATTAAAATCAGAGTGATGCTACATACAATTGAGATTTTATTATAACTATTGATGTAAAATCAACTCCATTTCAGCAATATTATTTTTACTTTTATTCTTCTACCAAAACCCAACACATTATCTTAAAAGGAAAACAATAATAAAAGTGACCTCAGTTTGCTAAGTAACTGGTAATAAATACTATAAATTTGATGCACAAAGAATTAAACTACAATGAAGGATTCCAACTGTAGACTGCTGATGTTTTCAAGCATATTATCCAAATGCAGAAAGATCAAATAACTAATAAATACATTAGGTCAGAAGAAAAGAGAACACTGATATTTCAAGCATGCAATCCAACAGCGGAAAGATTAAACATACTAGAAGACATTGCATCAGAGGAAAAGAGAACACACCGATAAAATTCCCCATCCAGTAGGAACAAATGCTAAAATAGAAGCAAATATGTCTGTTACCGATAGGTCCGTCAATACAACTGCTACAATCAAACCGGCCAGTGCTAACAAGAGAGATAGACCTTGTACAAATCGCAGCACAAGCTGGAAGTTGACTGATACCTTCTGGCTAAAGGTGAATACCTATTGAGCAAGAATACAAGATAGCCGAGTCAAAATTAGCAACAAACAAAAGTAATCTAAGACCACATAATTCAATATTGCACCTTAAAAAGAACTATTAACACTGCCAGCACCACCCATGAGAAAGCATAAACCTGTGCAAGATAAAACATAAGCAATCGGTTGTGCAATAACAGTTGGATATAAAACAAATAAAGAAACTACATTGTTGTATTGCGCAATAAGCTCTCAATTAGTTTCTATTAATTCCTGTTTTTTTCTATTTTACAACTTTAGTTTTCCTTGATTTTGTTACTGTGATAGATTTCAGATTGTATGGTTGGCAGGCATTCATTAGAATGTCTGTGTTAGTCTATATAGTGCATATTATTGTTGTAATATGAATCATCAGAAATATTTAGATTCCATTTTTTTCAAGTAGGCATCAAAGTTCCCGATTTGGGAAACTAGGTTTCCATATCAAAACCCTAACCACCTTCATTTCAGCCACCTTAGGCTACCATTATTTCAGCCACGTAGACCCTTGGTCACCTACACTTTCAGCACAACTAAGTGATCCTAACTTAATTTAACAGTTGGAAACAAGAAATATATTTTAAAATTAGTAAGAATTCAAAAGAGCGAACAGATGAAATATAAACATACCGTCAATGAAGTATCCATTCCTTTCACATCAAGCTTGTAGACAATTCCATATTGAAAAATGAAAAATCTCAGACTCAGGATGGTCTCTGCTATCCTAGAACCGAAGCTCCTGATATGAGCCTGCAGATGGAATATTTTAAAATAGTTTATCTTGTTGTCATAATTAGTCTTTTTTTTCTGATTGGGATTTCTAAATTACTTAGTCAAATATGATTGGATGGTTCAATCAAAAACAGCTCGGTTCCTATCAATGTTTTTCAAAAAATTCCACCAGTCTTTACATTAACCACATAATGCATAATAATAGCTACTGTCCATGCACATGAGAAAAGATAAGCTACAGCTCCCTTCACTTGCTCACTACCCAACCTACCATCTTGAAGAAAGAGGAACGCCTACTTCAAAGATTAGTGGGGTCTTACTTACTGTTTCAAAATAAATATGATATATTTTTTATTTAACCCCTCAGCTTTTGTACTAAAGGCATCTATTAATTGATTCCTTAATCAAATTCAATCGAAAGATTATGCATCTAGTAGGTTTTTAAGAGCACAAGACTGGGTGGTTAATAAAAGTCACACTTTCCTAGATTCCAAAACAATTGATTTTGAAAGTTAAAATTGAAATGACTTAAACAACTTTTTAATCCTTGTAATTTATAAGGATGTTGTGTATGGTAAGACTAGTCAGAATAACATTAGAAATGACAATATTAAAGAGTGTTCGGGTAGAACTTATAGTAGAAAAGATGATGGAAAATACGCTCAGGTGGTTTGGGAATTTAGAGAGAAGATTAGTAGATTTTGTTGTAAGGAGAGTATATCAGACGGAAAGGTGTCAAAAAAACTAGAGGTAAAGGAAGACCTAAAAAATCTATAAGAAAAGATATTAAGATCTCGAGATTAACGATTTGGATAAAAACATGGTCTTGAGTAGAACATTATGGCGGAATTTGATCCATATAACAATCCCCACTTAGTAGAATAAGGCTTGGTTGTTGTTGGTTGTTGTAGTCCTTGTAATTTATAAGATCAAAACCAGAGAAACCTGGTGAAATAAAACTCCCATAATGAAGGAATCGAGGCAAAGGTTGGATGCCTACAGTCTATTGTAAAAGTAGCGGACCAACAATATAAACATAAAGTTGCAGCTTTAGAAGCAGAACTACATATATAACACACACGTTCACTTGGCACATCAATCATCATTCCAAAAGAAAGTCGCATCCCAACAAAGTAAAAAAAATTTGCCAATTTTTGAGAACTTGAACTGCACGTTAAGTAGAACAGATGTAATGTATGAAAAGTTATCAATGATAAAAATATACAAATGCAAGAAATAAACTTCAAATAATGAATGAAAAATATTGAATACCAGTTCTTCTTCCCACCAAGCTTCCCAGCTTTCTTCTCCCTTAACACCAATTCCACCTCTGTAGAGTAGCCAATTTGTCCAGTCTCGGAAGTCTGTGACTACCCTAAAATACAATGTAAGAGAGAAATTCAGAAGATATAAGAGGTATACCTGAAAGGATATGAAAGTTGAGAAAGTGAGAGATTGAGTCCTTAAAATGAAAAAAAAAATGATATTCTTGTTTACTAGCTCCACAAATGTATAGATCTCTAACTGACTATACAAAATAAATCTAACAACACGAGAAAATCGCGAAGAGAAAATATAACACAAACAACTATTACAACTGAGGCATAATATGCAGCTTAGATAATACTTACTTTTGCCACTCAAATCCAGACGGGTTGAATAAATATGGAGCAAACAACCAGGATAGAGCCATAAACCAACTGCTTATACTCAAAAGAATGTATGATACTGCACCGTCACTGTAGCCATAAGCAAGATATACTATCAACAGAAGCACAACTTCCAACCTGAAGACAAGAGGATATAGGTAACGATAATTCCCTTCAAGGTAAAGGTCAATAAAGAACTGCAATCTTTGAAGTGTATGCAGTCTACACGCGAATAATTTCATAAATACGAAATAGAACCACTGAATCAAGCAAGAAGGGAGACAAGGGATTCAGAAGATTCCAAGCATTTAATTTTAGCAATTCTTGAAAAACAAGGATGGAGAATAATAAGTAACCAAGACTCCTCTGTCTGAGAACTAGGTATTTTCCCAGGAGAGGTTTTCTAGATCCACACGGATACTCACCAGTTAGAGATACTGTCGGTTAAGGCATGACAACTGGCACCTGTGCCAGCTGACAAGCTGTTACATTCTGTTATAACAACAAGCTGTTAGTGCGTGTTATAACAGCTCCTTGAATTAAGGAACTGTTCCCTTGATTTAAGGGAGTTAGTTTAGCCTAACTACAACTCTACAAATAGAGTTGAATCTGTTTTTGTAGTCTGTAACAATGAAATCATAACAATAGATTCTAAAATTTCAGTATGGTATCAGTTTAGTTCTCTCTCGATCCTAGCATGTATCCATGGCTTTTTTCAATCCGTTTGGTAATCAAATCAAACGATTTTCCCTCTAAAGTAAAACTCTCTCAACTGGCCTCTGTAAAGCTTGCAGACAAGAATTTCAAACAATGGAAACAGAAAATTTATGGTGTAAAGCTACAAGTTGCTGAAATTCATCCCTGATCCATCACCTTCAGATCACCTTCAGATCAGTACATCACAGATCAAGATTATGTTGCCTGAGAATTTCAAGCCTTTGTATCTTGAATGGGAACAACAAGATGCACTCATATGCACTTGGTTGTTATCAATAATGTCCGATTCAATTCTCACAAAAGCTGTTGATCGTCACTTTTCTTGGGAAGTTTGGGCAACGATTCACAAATATTTTCACACTTAGCTTACCACCGAGGCGAGTCAGCTGTGATCGGAATTGCGAAGTCTCGCCAAAGGTTCTTTCACCATTGAGGAATTTGATCGGCATACCATGTATGCATTCAAGTCTTTTGGGTAAGATGACAAACCTAATAGCTAAGATTATAATGATCCTGCTCCTGATTTATAATGAATGACTTGCATTACATAATGAGATTGCACAAATATAAATACAAGAGGATATCTCGAAAAAGGGAAAACAAGAAACAATACTAAAGATAACAAACAGAGAATTATGACTTTAATCAATACTCCCTCTCAAGCTAAAGCATATATATCATATGCATTGAGCTTGTTAAAATGAAAAAGATGATAATTAATTTGAGGTCCCCAGAGAGAACTTGCAGAAGATACCAACTAACTGATTATGCTGCTCATTGAAAAAGTTTTAATGATGCACAAAAGGATATTCTCTCTCATAAACAACGATTAACTTTATGTGTTTAGTCCTCTCGTGAAAGATAAAGTTAGATGCATATTGGTATCAGATCCTAATGATAGGGGGCTTAAAAATAGGCGCCTGTGTTTTGCTAGGCCCAACCTTAGGTGGATTTGAAAGTAAACAGTGGTTGCTTGATCCAAGACAGAGGTTGAATATCATGACCGTGCTACCACTGCTGTGGAACTAAACACATCGAGTGCAAGTACTTTATCAGACAATGCTATCCTATTGCTACAATATGCACATGGAGTTCAACCTTTTTGTAATGTGAGCCAAAGAAATCAGAAAAATATTTCCATGTGTTGCACATTCCTTCTGAAGAGCATTTTCCTGAAAGTTTCCTTAAATAAAAGGATAAACTGGAGATGTCAAACTTCTACACTAGTTCAACCACCATGAGCTTGGGGAAGAGGAGGAGGGGAGGGGTGATATGTTAAGTGTACTCAGAATGTAAAGTGAATACTGTTAGTCTGTTCAGCAATGAAGCTCATTTATTTGTACAATTAGCACTAGTTCAGTTTAGTTGGTTTGAGTTGCGAACTTGCAACAGTAAATGTAGTTACTGTTGGATATTCATTTTTGCAAGAAATTCTAACTCGTCACTCTATACAAACAGTAATTACATTAAATCATACACATAAACAACAGAACTTCACAACTAGCTTTTCTCTCAATTTCAATCTCTATAGCTCTCTCACATTAAATGATTAGAAATTCGAGAACCTTAATTGCAGACAAATAAGGATAAAAAATATTGCACATATGTACAGGAGCCAACTTAGAGAAACGATAAGCCTCACCCTTTAACAAAATGGCTACGAGAATAGAGTCTGTAGTTTTCGGAAAATTTGATATGGCGGACGACAAACCCTCGGCCAGTCGCTTGATACTGTTGACAAATAAATATATTAACAATTATAAGAGAAATGAGTAAAAGGGAGCATAAATTGGTGCACAAACCCTTGCACCGCCATGAAGTATTGTTCTTCCAAAATAATGGGTTCTTGTACCCAAAGAAAAAGTGAAAAAAACAGTGCAGAGCTGAAACTGCATTGTGATAAAATTGACAACAGCCTGCAGAACAATAAAAAAATAATAAGAAAAAGTTGAACTTTTCTCAAAGGATCGATTTTCATAAAACATCATTCAGTATAAAAGCTCAAAGTAGAATAAAAGAAACGAAGAAAACCAGAGCACTTGGTTTTTTATCAGAACAAAATTTCGAGATGAACTGGTATGGGTACTTCGCCATTTTAAAATTACACACGCTTCAGAGATTAAGATAAAAACATACATACACACTTACCCTCAAGAAGCCTTGTTCAAGAATAAAGCCCAAGACCATTGGCACAGCAGTGAAGATACCAATTTGTAAGAGAAACTGCGTATTTAAAGCAGCACTCAGAGCCGTGTTCTTGGTTATCTTGGCCCTTCCTTCAATTTCTTCTCCAACACCAGAGAGTGCCTAAAACAAAAGAGTTCCTTTATACACCAGTATAGAAATATGTGTAGGTCTTTGTTAATTGTTAGTAGTCAGTGCGTAGGCATATGAGCTGTGTAACCATTAACTTGTATGACATGTGTAGGCAACCCCTTTGACTGATTGATGAGAAAAGAACTATAACTTAAATTTCTATGAAAAAATAAAACTAGGAGAATGATAAAAATAAAATGACCAATAACAAATTATTCATTCTAGCCAATTCGACTCTTTCTTCCTTTATTTTTTGCTTTATTTAGACTTCTGTACAATCAAAATACAGCTCACAAATTCGCTTTCTGTTAGAACTGGTAACGGAATTACAAGCTTTGCAATTGCCTCCTTGCCGTGATCTATTCGCCTAAATATATGGGCACTCACAACACTTTCAAGCAAGTCAACATCATTTTCTCTCTTTTCAGATCTATATTTTCTTTCTGAAATTTATGCTCTCAAATTTTCTTCAACCTAGAAATAGTATCAATGCCGAAAAATCCAACTATGGATTACACAAATGATAGTACAAGTAATGATAGTTATGTAAGAAAAATGTGATAAGCATCTTAGATTTGAGACTAACGAAAGGCCAAAATCTTGTTTGACCACAATTTCCACAATAAAACACTAGTAATATGAGTAAATTTTGAACGCATGAAGAAGACAATTAAACGCAATGATGAAAATTAAGTAACAGAAAGCAAAAAAATGAAACATCAAATCATGAAGAAATTCAACTTACCAAGTACGTTTTTCCATATAGAAAGGCATAAACTGTCAGCACTGTTAACTGCAAAATGATAAACGGGAACATAATCAAATTACACTGGTATAACACTTCAGTATTGTTACACCATAGCTATGGCCTTAGTGATTTGGTAAGGTCCACAGAACCTAGGACTGAGAGTTTCGTTAAAATTTTAGCCAATGATTTCAATCTGTAAGTTTTTAGTTTCCGGTATGTTTGTTAATCTGAACTCACATCTAATTTTGAGCCTTAACCAAGTTAGATCTGAGATCATGCAAAATAGAGTCTCACATTGGATGAGAAATGGCCTGAAAATATGTTTACAAGTGGGGGCAATCTTCACCTTACAAACCGGTTTGGTAAGGATGAGTTAGGCCCAATATAAAATCTAAGACTGTTGAAGGAAGTGTAGTTCTGTTAGTTGAGGAGTGTTGGAATTTTCGCATTCACTGGAGTCTGCCCCTAGTCATCTAAATTTTGGCATTTGGCGTGCCTTCATTGCAGCCCCCAATACCTTCATTATGTTGGGTTTGAAGGGGTGGATTTAGTCTCACACTGCTTAGAGATATGGCATGTGTTGTGTTTATAAGTAGGGACAATCCTCACCTTACAAGCCGGTTTTATAGGGATGAGTTAGGTCCAACCCACACTTAATAAGGATGATCATGACCATTAAGAGCATTGAAAGGGTTTAATTGAGTAAAACTGTTGTAGTCAGAGTTGAACCAAAATTCTGCCCAAATTTACCACTTTGTCCATAAATTAGATTTGGCCTCACTCAAGCACCTTGATTAAGTCTCAAAGATACCTATTATCAAGTTGACTCTTAGACTTGATCGATAGTATATGTGACTCTTAAGTCTAAACAATTTTTACAAAAGTCTTGTTTCTTTATTTTTTATCCAAAGTTATTTCAATTTGATCTTTGTGCATTTATTGATAAAATAATTAAAAAAGGTGATGCATGAATGACATACCATGGTACAAAAGTAGTATCCAACTGTTGTGAAGTAAAAAGACATCATCCGGAAGAAATCAAAAAGTTGCCCAAGTCTGTATATATCCCGACTAAGAACTTGTTCACCATTACCACTTGAAACCTTCCCCTCAAATAGTGCAATTTGATTGAGGCCAACATCTCTTCCCTTACCAACCTGTACAATTTATCATTAGAGCTGGATCTGTAGAAGATACATCTTTAATTAACAAGCCTCACCTGGATATATTCATGATGAGTAACGTTTCCTTGTCGCAAGGTTGAATTGAATCCTGTGAATAAACAAGAATCAAAAGAAGAAAATATGGGGAAATTGTAACAGTGGCAATAAAAAAATTCAGTGACATTCAGTTTAGGTTATTTGAAATTCATTGAATCATACAGAAATGCACTATCACCCGTAGCATGATGTAGAGACCCTTAGGCACTAAGTAAGATGCTGTAGCATTGTGTAGTATTGAAGAGCAACAACAATGACTTCTTCAGTGAAGTTACAAGTTGGTTATGCTCTCACTTTAAAGCCATTCCCTCCTTTTTTGACTTTTTGGGTCACTTTATCCTTACCTCCTCCAGAATGACTATAAAATAGGACTCGAGTTTCTCATATAGTATTTTCTTTTATTAAAATTTAGATTAAGTCTAACTCAACTCTCAAAACCAATTTGTAAGGTGAGGGATACCTCCCTTTTTTAGGTCACATTACATCCAATATGGGATTCTCACACAAGAAATGAAAACCTCTGATATTACCAGGAGTTGAAATACAACATGTTATAAATGTTCGTTGGACTTTCCGCGTTAATTACGGTCGGCCCCTAGACGCCTTATTTGCAGCACTTTGATTTGCCTTAATTGCAGCCCCCAACACCTTAATTGTGTTGGGTTTGAAGGGGTAGATTTAATCCCACATTGCTTAGAGTTATGGCATGTGTCGTGTTTATAAGTGAGGGCACAAGCACAACACAATAAAGGTGTTGGAGGTTGCAATGCAGGGCCGGCCCAAGGGCAAGGCCAACAAGGCCATTGCCTTGGGCCTCACTTTTTTGGGTTAAAAATAGGTCTCCAAATAAAATAGTTAGATAATATATACATTAGAAAAAAGATTTCTATCGTATGTTTACTAATAGCCCAGCGGGAGGGAGTTAACTAGTGGTCCTTGAAGTTTGTTGTTCGAACTCTACTCACTCCATATTGGACTCTTAAACTTGTCATTTTTTTGTGTGTGCATTTTCATCAATGAGGCATTTGATGTAACATTATATTAACGGTATAATTAATCTTTTTAAAATTTAAAAAATAGTTTTTTAAGTAAAAAATATAATTAATACTGTACTAATTAAAGGGTAATGCTAACATATGCCTTAAGGGCAGGGCACATGTTAAGAGTTAAATGTGGAAATTTTTTGTTAGAAATTGAGTATTATTTTAATTAAAAATTGATAATTAATGTTTTCATTACCTTTTCCAATACAAACTTTCCATTTTTAGGTTTCTAAATTGTACTAAATTGTAGGGTTTAGCATTACCCTTAATTAAATAGTTATATCTATGTTTCATTATTTATTTGATTTTAATAAGTTATTTATTTTTTGTTTGGTCTTAAAAAACTTAACTAAAATTTATTATTGTTTCCACACAAATAAAAATAAGTATTTTTAATGAATAATTTTAAATTAAATTTTTCTAGAATAATACCTGCCTTTTAATTTTTTTTAAATACATAAATATAATAAGTGATTATTTTTATTATGTAGCTTAAAAAACAAATAAATTAGTCACTTTAAATCACACTATTAAGATATTATAAAGTAATGTGATGATTTTATAAAATTTAATTTAAGGATTAAATTGATAAATTTGAAATGTTTTAGAAACTATTAATTAATTTTATATTATGAAACTAATAATTTAAGAAATTAATTGATGGTTTCTTTTATTTTGAAAATAAAAAACTAATATAATTTTTATTAATATATATTTTGGTTGTAAAAAAATTTATTTAAAATTTTGCCTTATGCCTCCAAAGTTGTTGGGCAGGCCCCTGTTGCAATGAAGGCAATTCAAATACCGCAATTAAGGCAACTAGGAGCGGATCGCAATGAAGGCGGAAATTCAAACAATATCATATATATCTTCTACAATGGTAATATGCCTTTAGTCACGAAATATGGTTATTTGTTAAAATAGGTGCACCTTGAATTACAATTATTATTCAATGAATTGTTCCACAATAGTTTTTTTTGCAGCCATTAGATTTCCAAAAAAGTTCAACATGTTTTGAAGTGTAGAGCGTGGTTATAGTAGGAACATTGAAACATTTTGCAGCATCGCCAGAACAAATAAAATTCTATGAAGCAAAATCAACTGCTATACCTGAGTAAATATCTTCGCTAATATTGATAACACGAGAAGCCTTGCTGATACCACCACGAGTTATGTGAAATACTCTATCAAAAACATCAGGATGACCATAATGCATCCGAACCCTGAACAAATCATAATTAACACATTACAGATTTGGATATGAACAGATGAAATGAATATTTAACATCAATTGGACTTACTTCAAAGGATTTGCTAAAACCCGCTGTCCCAAAGTTACAAAACTAGTTTCTTGATTGGACATGAATGAAGCCAAAGATGACACACTGTACATTAACATGAAAATTTCCTCAACAATATACAAAGCAAAATTTAGTCAAAAAGAGAAACAGAATCACAGAACTTAAGCTACACATACCTTCCAGTAAAGACGTGCTCTCTAACACCAAGTATGGTGGGAGGACGAAGACCATGGTCAGAATGAAATTCCTCAAGAAGATTTCTCATCTTCAAAGCCTCCTCAAAATAGTTATCCTACAAAGCATAAAATAGAGAGACTTGTATAAAATTGGTATTGTCAACAGAGAGAATTCAAAATAGAGAGAATTGTATAGATGAGAGAGAGAGAGAGAGAGTATTTCGATCTGTATTTGTTATTTATAATGTTCTGAATCACAATACAATAGAATTATAGAGTTAATTCAGACTTACTTAACTCTTAACAAAATAAACATGCCCACCACTAACAGACTAACACCCTAAGTGGAGTGTTCAAGAGCCCTGTCACTTACGATAAACAATAATATAAGCGGAGTACATGACATGTCCTTCTATCGTCCCCCCTCAAACTGGGGTTAGAGCGAAAAGTAGATTAAACCAAAGCACAGTACGAATACCCGTTGTGATGCTGGCCATGATGACAGGAAGTCTACCTCGTGTGCAAAAAAAAAGGGTTACTTTTCCCACCCCATAGGGTGAGTGTAATTTGGGTGCGTCCGGAGATGAATCTCTGGACTCGCCCTAAATTTTGGCAAAATAAAGGTGGCTTACCCATGGTAGTCAAAAACGAGTGCTGGGTCGTAAGATCGTAAGGTCTTACGTGCTGGGGAGGGAAATTAGTGCTAGGATCTGGGAAAGATCGTTTTTGGTTGCTGCCATAGTCAAGATCGAGTTTTTTTAGTAAAGATCGTTGAAAAAAATAGTGCTGAGCCTTTTTTTTGGGCTTTAAACCGGGTCGGGTTTTTTAAGTGAAAACCAGTTTTTTTTTATTTAACTTACATTCCTAACCCTAAAACAAAACAGAACAGAAACGGGGCTCTTCTCATTCCCTTCACAAAAACTTCTGCTCTTCATTCTCTTCATCTTCACGAAAACTTCTGCACTTCATCCTCTCCATCTTCAACTTCTATCGCCGTGTTATTCTGTTTTCGCCTGCTATTCTCTTTTCTCGGAAAATATCAAACTTTTGTTTATCTTCTCCCTATTTAATGGCTTCTCTTGGAATGAAAAGCGACCCAGCTTGGGAATACTGTGTTTTAATTGATCCAGTTTCAAGAAAAGTGAAGTGTAAGTTCTGTGAGGGTGAGTTTACAGGAGGTGTGTATCGTTTGAAGCATCATTTGGCCGGAACCAAAAACAATGTTAGGCCCTGTTTAGCTGTTCCAGATGACATCAAGATAATAATGTTGGACAATGTTAAGCCCTGTTTAAATGATTTAGATGTTCCTTTCATTGTTGAAGATGATTAGACTTATTTGTTATATTTATGTTTTTTGAGCTACTTATGTTGAACTTGATCTTTTAAACTTATTAAATTATGGAATGATGGTTCTGAATTATTAATTAAATTAGTTGAAAGTTGTGATTTATAAGTTGTTTTGTTCATGTATTATAATTTTCATGTTTTTGTTCATGTGAATTTACCATTTTGTCCTTCAGTAAGAACTTAAGTGTCGTGCTACGATCCTAGCTTTACGATTTTTCACAGGCCGTCCGATCCTACTTAAGATCCCGTGCTTGACTACCTTGGGCTTACCAATTTCACCTAGGAGTGTGTGTGTAAAAAGGATGTGTCCGGAGATGAATCTCGGTTGTGACTTTTCACCGTGGTGGACGAACACTCTAAGGGTGGGAGAAGTAATTCCCAAAAACAATTGGCTTCCAGTCTCTTGGTGGTCCTACAAGCAAACCATGTTGCTAGATCTAGCATGAAGGGTGAGTACCCAACTCTAGAACAACTTACTCCAGAATCACAATGGATTCAGACTATGCAATCTGAGGTACTCGCACAAAGTACGTGGAAATGGACTTGTTCTTTATTAGAAAAAAAAATCTTTAGCAAGTAAATTGTAGTTCTTAATATTACAAGCCAAGATCAAACCTAACAACTCTCGGACAAAATAACCGCCACAAACATGATGTGTACTTCTACCTATCATTAATAAAGTTTAATTGCACACTAAATGAAATAGAAAAATTAATAGTAAAATGCAATACAAGTTAGAAAAATCTTCAAACTAAAAGTGTATAAAATCAATACAACTAGGAGTGACATACATTTTAGGGAATACAACAGAATACTTATTGATGTAAACTGTTAAATTAGCTACCTGATTCATGTCAATTGTTTGAACAGCATTCCCGCGGGTAAATACAATTGCATGATTTTGATTCTCGGGCTTCCCTTCACCAAGTTTGGGATTTCCAGGTAATTTCACCGAGTATATTTCCTATGACATCAAAAAGGTTTAATTGAAGGAGTGAAAAATGCAATAGAATACAGATGTAAGAGAAACCTAAGAAAATATGGAAAACAAGGGATTCCAACACACACAAACAACAACAATGATGATTTGGCGACTAGATTAGATGACCAACCCTAAAATTTTAGCATTGCATGCTTTTCAAATTAACCAGCGACATGAACATCAGAGGTACATCATACATGCATTATGTGGTTACAACAAGTCCTTCACAGTTTCTTTTGTGGCACATTTTTTTCTCAAAACTAATCACTGCAAGGACTTGCACTCAGAACCTATCCAAAATCCATTGGGCCTCCTACTATAAGGTTTCCGTTATCGGGTTACCTACCATTTATCTTCATGCACCAAGTTTAATAGTTTTGGGCGGGAGGAAGTGTGTTAAAAGAGACATGTGGCCTGGAAATATGTTCATTAAGTGGGGGTAATCCCCAACTTACAAGCCGGTTTTCTAAGGTTTTCTTTCCTTAACTAATCAGTGCAAAGACTTGCACTCAGAAGCTATCCAAAGTTCGTTTAACCACTTGCTATTAGGTTCCCGCAATCAGGTCCTCCTCCAATTATATCCATGCACCAAGTTCAATATTGTTGGGCGTGAGAGGTGTGTTAGTTTTATGGCCTGGAAATACGTTTGTAACTTATAAGTTTGGGGCAATCCTCAACTCACAAGCTGGTTTTTAAGATTGAGTTAGTCCATAACACAATTCTAAGACCTACAAAACAATTTATCTTAGTTGGTATTGATATCATGGTTTGTTTGAATTTTATTTCATGTCAGCTCATGATATTTAATCACATTAAAAATTCTAAAATATATGAAGAACATACAATTATTAACCTTCATCCCTATATATAGGATTTTATCGACGAAACTACGACAATTAAGAAAGTTGGTAGTTTTACTAAATTTGGTGACACTTGGTATTGTTTTATTAGTATACCCTTCAAAAGCGATAATTAGTTTATGACTCCGTCATACTATTTTTTTCACGGATTGCATAAAGAGAGGTAATATAAATCAGGGTATGTTGCTAAAGAAATAAATAATGCCGGTGGAATTTGGAAAAGGGTCCTAAAGAAAGGGACAAGAAAAAGTCTCAAGGGGATCTAATATTTAAGGACGGAGGTTGTACTATGTAATACGACAATACGCACACACACATATCAAAGGAAAAAATATTCCCATCACTATAGGTGTTATTTGAATGGCAAGAAACACACCCAACATAACAAAAGTTCCTGTTCTTTAGCATATACGCCATGGAAGCTATCACATTGACATGTAGGGCATGAAAAACACTGAAAAAGTTTGGCAATTTGAAACTTCCTGCTCACATATTCACAAACTCTAGTCTCCACTAATAACCACTTATCAATTACACCCAAGTTTCACTGATCTTTCAAACCAAATGGACTGTGATACCAAATTAATTATGAATGAAAAAGTTGAACAGTTATGCTGAGAAAAACTAAAAGAATTTAAAACAAATTGATTGACCATTAACGCCATTCTCAAAAAAATAAGAAACTAGACTAAGAGCAGATATCAAAATGTGGCTCGAAAGTGAAAGACGAAAACCCTGGCCATAGAACAGAATGTGGAACAGAAGTGTGTAAAAAGCACAGAAGAATGGCACCTTGTCTTTTCCATTAATATCAGCTTTGACAAGCTTTGAGTAGTATTCCGTGTTCACTTGTCCATCTCTTAAAGTTTCAACAACATCAATGAAAGCCACACGAAGAGCTTCATTTCTATAAGCACAAATAATTGAAAAATTAGATAAAGCTATAGACTTTTAGCATTTGAATAAAGAAGAAAATCAAATAGAATATAACTAAGGCAAAAAAGTTTCACAATAACATTGCTGAACTGACCTTTGCATAAGTAAAGCAATATCAACAGCTTCAGGCTTTTGCTCCTCTTTCTGCTTACCATAAATTTGACATGTCACGAGATAAGTGAACTTCAGATCCGCCTGAGCACGTGCTTCAGGGGATAAATCAAAGCCACGTGTATCAGATACTTCATCAAAACCATCTCCAGCCTCCAAATCTAAACCATAACAAAAGAAAAAAGTTAAAAGCATATAAAAGCAGGAAAATATACGGGTTTATACCTCCCCTTACCTCCACCCGTGGTCCTCTCTAAATAGGTCTGAAGCATAAGAGCCTTCCTGTAATACATCATCCCTCGAACTGCATTTCAAAGAGCAAAGAATAGAAAATAAGCTACTTCAATTTTTCATGATAAACTTTAAGAGGTTTGAAAGAATTTTTATTCTTATGATGTTGCACTGTGCATGTTATAAACTAGTTAATTGGAATGAAAGAACCAAAAGATGTTGTTGTCTAAGGTGCACAACTTGATAAATAGTAAATAAAACAGCATTGGTTTTAGCCATTAACATATTATTTTACGGTCAAGATTATATCTATTTTCTAAATTGCACCCGAATTGTGTTATTTTGACATCAAACTTCTACAACAAATTAAACGATAAACACAGTTCGAATATGTGGATAATTATGTTAAGGAGATGGTTAATGAATATAACAATGTGTTACAACTCAACTCATTTGCCATCCTCTAAACCCAATTAATCACAACTTTAAATGTCATTAACCACGATTTTCAAGTGTTCATATATACATATATATTCTTTAATCATTTAGATTTTGTCCAAATATATCTGTAGGTGCTCAAATATATTTGTAGGTGTCCAAATATATTAAAACATTACCAGTTCTGGCCAATGTTTGCCCTCGATAAGAAGCCCAAAAGCGCAGTTCAAGAATATCACTAGGACTATCAAAAAGATCAGTGTCACTTGAATTTTCATCACGGCCGATTCTAGCAAGAAAGTTTTGCCACTCATCTGTAATGAATTAAATTAACCACAAATCGATATATCACAGTAGAAAAACAACAAAGCACAAAAAGCATGAGTATACAATAGCTTAGACTTGAGTAGGAAGCAACAAAAATCATTTCATTAATTGCTGCAGGACAAAAGCAATCCTAATACACAGAACAAACTTGGCATTTCAACATAAGGACACATTTCAAAAACACAGAAGTTACCAAAATCAAAAGACCAGAATCAAAAGCAATCCTAATACACAGAACAATTTTGGCTTTTCAACATATGGACACATTTCAAAAACACAAAAGTTACTGGAATCAAAAGATCAACTAAACCAACTTAATTTCAGGTGAGATCCGGCCAGCCCTTCTTTGGGCCACAAAAGCAGTTACAATTAACTTCAACAAGCAAAAGCAAGCCAGCTGACCAATCTCAAAACAGCTAATAAAAAACAAATTAATAAAATCATGCAGATCTATAGGTAATTTGTGTCGGCGTGAGAAAAAATCAGGAAAAATTCAGGAATGACAAATATTTTGTTTTACCCCACAACCTAGAATATGATAGAGCTTCCTCTATATCAGCAATAAAGAACACGGATAAAATGGACTTAGGGTAATCACGTCAACTCTATCCGGTGAGAGGAAAAGATTTAATCATCACTAGCAAGACTGGAAGTATTTAGGTTGGCCCCATTGCCAAATAGTAAATCATCACATCAGACAGCTGTTAAAGTAAATAATTGGGTTGCTATGCATTCTTTTAAGTAGGACACTACGTAAATAGGGTCTTTAGCACCCCAATGGCTCAGAGTATCCCCAAAAGATGATGTCCTTTGGATCAACTATGGGACAAATCTCTGCTCAAGCGCTCCGATCACACAGCTTAAAGCTCTTTGAAGTTCGCCAAGAACGAGTTTTGCAAGGACCAAATGGCAGTTCTCTAGCACATCAGAGCGCTGATTAACCAACAGAGTCAGACTCATTGGGTAGCTGCTGTGCTGTGCATTTAGAGTAAGCGCCCCTGAGCAGGTCCATTAATTATATGAGACAGAAAAAATAAGATAATTAAATCCAGCCCCCATCAACGTATTTCAACCGGCCTAACTATCACTAAATAATAGTGGTCAGGCTCAGTGTTATCAATTGCAGCACCATGGCCGCTACGGCGGATATACATGGCCGTTTTGGGACTCGCTGCAATGGTAAATATCAGCCAATATTGCGGGTTTTTCCACCGTAATCCGCTATAACAGCGCTGCAAAGCAACCGGTATGGCAGAATTTTGGCTCTCCGCCATCAACAAAATCGGTCAGGCTTGATTTTCACCCAAAAAAATCTACGTAGATAAAGCAAAAATAGAGCCAACCTGATAAATTTCAATTGATACACATTAAATCAAATATGCCATTCAATAGGATCTGATATTGTTGTGATTGAAGCCAAGTTATGCAAAACTACCTGGAAATATCTTCTGAAGGTAGAACAAAATTGAAATGCCATCCTCGTTTTTCTTTTGAAGTTCAGCCATGCTATAAAGCACAATCTCAGAATAGTAAGGGGTGAAAACACTGCACAATCAGAAGATAAGATGAGCACAGAAACAACAAATAGCATAATTTCTTTTTAAAAAAATATTTACCTAAAAGATAACATTTGTTGAACTGGCTTTGCACGAGGCATCTTCATAAAAAGTGAATTTGCAAAAAACTCCAACCTTCGCCTAGCCTCAAGATTTCTAGGAACGCTTGACGCAGAGTCTTTGATAGTCATCAATGAATATAATCTTTTGACTTGCATTCTCTGCATATACTCAAAGTTGGTAAACTCATAGTAAGGTTTAAGGCAAGTGCATAAAGAAAAATATAATAAGAGCATACTAAGTCTGCATTTGGCCATTTTAACTTTTGAAACAAATGCCCTTCTTCTCTAGCTTTGGTCAGTATACTCCATGTGTCATAATTATCCCTACATAAAATAAAAAATCAGCAATAATCTGATAACTAATGAAATGGAGAGAGGGAGAAGGGTAGAAATTCTGACATGCCCAAGGGAGAAATCTATTTCTAAAAATGCTATATATAATCGTACAAGAAAAACTGTAAAACAACCTCATATTTAAAGAAAGGACATCATGTCGTACAACATCATAGAGATCCTGAACAGCCCTAACTGCACCTCTTTCAAGATCAGGTGTTTCAGTCTCTTTCTATAAGATGCCAATACAAAGATGAGTTAAAACTCAACTGTTAACTTCCAAGTAAAAAGAGCTGAATTAAAAAGAAATACATATAAACAAGAAAAACCTCCCCAATTGGTGAGGTTGAGTTGGAGAAAATGTTATCCAAGATTAATGTAAAAATTGATTTGATAAACAGAATAATAGAACTTAAAAGATTAAATACAAACCAGAATTCCCATCAGTGCAGTTATTCTTGATATCACAACAGCCAACTTATTTAGTCGAAAGTCCCTAGGAATACTCCTTTTTGTGATACTGGCATCAATATCATCATATATCCTTTCAACCCTGATACAACAGCAACGATTGCAAATGGATAACAGCGCATAAGTCAAACTATCAAATATAAAACTCATCATATAATCAAAACATGGTACCATGCACTTCAACATTACAGCAGTTACATACCACATCCTTCCAGCATCATCTAATACTTCTGTTAAAATGAGTTTAATAGCATAGTAACACTCCTGAACTGCATACATCATATATTCATCGCGTGAAATCCTATCGAAAAGCTCATCTTGAGTATCATCTTTATTCTCAACAGCAATATCCCTGGCCAAAAATATCTACATAATTGTGCACAATAACTAATCAGTGAACCATAACAAAACATAAAACAATGAGCATATTAGAGTATAGTAGATATAGCATTTTAGCTTGATCCTTAGCAAGAAGTGAATGGAACCTTGAGTACACAACAAAAAGTGTTGTTTTATCACTTTCTGCCATAATAGACAAAAAGTGTTGTTTTATCACTTTCTTCCATAATAGTTAGTAAGATAGTTACTTCGTCGAGCTTATCTAGCTGATAAATAAACATATTATTACATACGCATTCTGTTACATAGTAAATATTTCTCTCAAATAACACAATCCTAATATTCAGATTCTGTCATTTTTCTCTCTGAATATTGAGTTTAGCAGAGCACAGATACTAAGCAAAGGCTGTATAAAATTATATGAAAAACAAATTGTGATAACGTGGATGGTTACCCGTAGAATTTGGGTAATGCCTAATTTAACCTCAAACAATAGCTCAAGAGATTAAGGTTGCCCATACCTTATATGTACTAATTTGACCATATCTTTAGTCAATGTGGGATTTCAATATACCACCTCAAACCCACACCCATACAACTCATACTCTAGCATGGAAAATGAAGGTAAATCAATAATAGAGAAAACAACACAATCTCACCACCGTGATTGGAAATTTGGAAAGTAAACTAATGTGAGTGCTCCATTAACATATCTAAGATAGACTCTAATACCAAGTTGCAAATTTAGAATATATAACTTGTCTTTCATAACAAAACGTTTGTTTTTAAAGAAACAAACAATCTGTATTTCTTTTATATTGCAATAAGTAATACATGAAAGATATTTATAGAATACAAGGGACAAATCACTTTAAATGCTAATTCTAAATGCTAATTATAAATATGGTAGAAGACAACTAATTGCTAATTATTAATAGCTAATTACTAATTATTATTCACAATGAATATTACGCTGAGCTGTATAACAGAATCTGTTGATTATGTACTTATCTCTCTAATAACTTCCAACACTCCCCCTCAAGCTGGGGAAAGGATATCTATCATCCACAGCTTGCAAGTAAGATCTCGAAACCGCTCCAAGGAAAGTCCTTTGGTGAACACATCAGCTAATTGAGGTCATGATGGGACGTACTGTGTAGAAATAAGACCATTATTCAATTTCTCTTTGATGAAGTGTCGGTCTATCTCTATATACTTTGTTCTGTTGTGTTGGACTGGATTGTGAGCAATACTAATGACAGACTTATTATTGCAGAAAAGTCTCATAAGAGCTTCATACTTTATTTTCAAGTCATCTAGAATGATCTTCATCCACAACAGTTCACAAACTCCTTGAGCCATGGCTCTAAACTCTGCCTCTACACTTGATCTGACAACTACATTTTGTTTCTTGTTCCTCCATGTCACTAAATTTCCACCTAAGAACATACAATCCAGTGGTGGATCTTCTATCAACAATCGACCCTGCATAATCCGCATCAGTATAAACCTCCATAGACAGCTGCTCACTTTTCTTGAACAGTAGTCCTCTTCCTGAGCTCATCTTTAGATACACCAAGATTCTATCCACTGCTTGTAAGTGCCTCTCCTGTGGGTCATGCATGAATTGACTGACAACACTAACCGGATAAGCTATGTCAGACCTGGTGTGAGATTGATAAATGAGCTTTCCCACAAGTCTCTTATATTGAGCTTTATCAACCCTTGGACTTTCCTCATCACTCCCAATCTTGTGGTTTTGCTCTATAGGCACTCTGGTGGATTTACAACCCAACTTGTCAGTCTCTTTAAGAAGGTCAAGGACATATTTTCTGAGAAATGAAAATGCCTTGTTTCGAGTATGCTACCTCCATACCTAGGAAATATTTCAACTTTCCAAGGTCCTTCATTTCAAACTGAGCTGCCAACTCCTTCCTCAAGTTCTTCTTCTCAAATTCATCATTACCTGCTACGATCATATTGTCTACGTAGACTAACAAAAGAGTGAGTTTACCATTTTGAGCATGCTTTATAAAGAGAGTATGATCACCTTGATTTTATTTATAACCCAAGGACACCATAACATGAGTGAGCCTCCCAAACCAAGCCCGAGGTTATTGCTTGAGCCCATATATGGCCTTCTTTAACCTGCAAACCTTATTACTTCCTGAAGTAGGGTCATATCCAGGTGGGATCTCGATATACACCTCTTCCTCTAAATCTCCATGCAAGAAAGCATTTTTCACATCAAACTGTTGCAACTCCCAATCAAAGTGAGCTCAAAGTGAGCTGCCAAGGAATGAATGATTCTTACGGTGTTCATTTTTGCTACTGGAGCAAATGTCTCCTCATAATCAATTCCCTAGGTCTGGGTGTATCCCTTTGCAACTAGCCTCGCCTTATATCTATCGAGTGTACCGTCGGATCGATATTTTACCGTATATATCCACTTGCAGCCTACTGGCCTCTTGTCATTTGGCTTCTCAATACCGCCCCAAGTCCCATTTTTCTCTAGTGCGTACATCTCTTCATTCATGGCTTGAATCCAATTCTTATCCTTTAATGCTTCTTCTACTGATGCAGGGACTCTAATAGAGTCAATAGCTGAAATAAAACTCTGATGTTGCACAGAAAGCTTTTCAGTAGACACTAACTAGGATATAGGGTATTTGGTACAAGACCTTTTTTCTTTTCTCAAAGCAATAGGTAAGTCATCAAGGTTTGGCTCACAAGAATTATTAGACTCAGGGTTAGGAACACTTACCTCAGGTTCAGACGATTGGACTTGTTAGGGCAGAACAGGTTTACCTTTCCACCTTTCTCGCCGGAACTGTAACTTGTATCTGTCAACATTATTATGCACCGGTATTGGTACATCACCACCATCCTCATTAGGCATCAAGGGCTCTTGTATTACAGGATTAACAGGAAGAACAGACAACTCATAAGACAACTTTGGGTCCTGTATTAGAGGAATAACAGACAACTTAGAAGACGGCTCTGGGTCCGGTATTAGAGGAATAACAGGAAGGACAGACAACTCTGAAGACTCAGCTTCTTGATTATTCTCCCCTGAAGCTGAGGATTGGGATAAAAAGACTCAGATTCCTGAAAAGTAACATCCATGGATATATATACACGACGACTAGGAGGATGATAACACTTGTACCCCTTCTTATCCGAAGCATATCCTATGAAGATACATTTAATAGCCCGAGTATCTAACTTACCCCGATGAAGACCAAGAACATGGGACAAAGGCAGAACAACCAAAGACACGATTCTGAAGACTTGACATAATAGGCACGGTCGGAAAGAATCGAGTCAGGACCTGCACAGGACTAACACCAGATAACACCCTAGAAGGTAACCTATTGATTAAATAAGTAGAGGTCAAGACAGCTTCCCCCAATAAAATTTAGGAACATTTATTTGAAAGCGTAATGCATGGGTGATTTCAAGAAAATGACGATTTTTCCTTTCAGCAACCCCATTTTGTTGTGGAGTATCAACACAAGTCAACTCATGAACAACACCATTAGTTTTGAGAAAATTGTGAAAATTTTGGTTTACATACTTCTTACCATTGTCTGACCGTAACCTTTTAATAGGTTTCCCAAACTGTGTTTTAACCATTTGAAAGTTTAACAAACAATTGACACACTTCAGACTTATCTTTCATAAGAAAAATTCATGTAACCCGAATACAGTCACCAATAAAAGTAACATACCATTTTGCACCAGAAATATTGGAAATGGATTAAGACCCCCATATATCATAATGAACAAGATCAAAGGGTTCGACACTCCTGGTATCACTAGGGGAATAGGTTGCTCGATGGGATTTGGCAAACTGGCACACATCACAATGAAAGGAATCAACAGACACTTTGGTAAATAAGTGAGGGAATAGAAACCTGAGCAGGCGGAAAGGAGGATGTCCAAGACGCCTGTGTTGGAGCCATATTTGAGTATTTGCCCATGATTTTGAACCAGCCTGATGACACTTGCTTTCCTTATGAGGCAGACAATATAACCTGTTTTGTTCCTCAACAATTCCAATCGTCTTCCCTGTGGCAAGATCTTGAAAAACACAACGAGAATGAAAAAAGGTTACAGCACAATTCAAGTCTTTAGTGAGTTTATGGATGGACAAAAGATTGTTAGAAAGCTTAGGGACATGAAGCACATGATTTAGGTGGAGAGATGGGCTTAGGCGGATGTTACCAGATCCGACAATCGGGGTTTAGGACCCATTTGCAACAGTAATATGGCGTTTATTATGTAAAGGTGAATAAGAAGAGAGATCTCACATATATGGGGTCATGTGGTTAGTTGCACCGGAGTCAATAATCCAGATATCTTTAGAACAAGAGGCATTAAAAACTAAGAAACTAGAGCTCTTACCAGTCATGGTCAGAGAACTAGTGTTAGAGAACTTACTTAAGGAGTCCATAAAGAGAAACAAATTGTCTCGAGCCAGGAGAGTCGCGATCTAATGTTAGGAGAGGATCGAAGAGTTGCCAATGAGAAACTCCAACAAAGATGACAACCAAACAATCAAGAACTACAAACAGCAAGAATCAGAGGTACAACAATGAAGGTTGTCCTGAAAACAACAAGGAAGGTGAAACCGCCCGAGTATGCAACGACGGTTGAGCGGTGCACGACGGCTGCAAAGTCACCGAGAGCACTAGGGTTCCAAGAGAAAGAGAACCTTGACCAAGAAAAAAGGGTCGTAATAAGAACGGCTAGTGTTTTGAGCGCGGAAGCAGAGCACCTAGAATCGAGTGCTCTGATACCATCTTAGAATGTGTGATTAGGCCTAACTCGGCCCTATAAAACCGGCTTGTAGGGTGAAGATTGCCCTCACTTATAAGTCCATGTTCAGGCCATATATTGTCTGATGTGAGACTCTTAACACCCCTTCTCACGCCCAAAGTGAACGTCTGGAACATGGAACTAAATGGTGGGTGACCTGATAGCAGAGTGACCCAACAGATCTTAAATCGGGCTCTGATACCATAAAGAAATAAACAATTTGTATTTCTTTTATATTGCAGTAAGTAATACATAAAAGGTATTTATAGAATACAAGGGACAGATCACTTTAAATGCTAATTCTAAATATGGTAGAAGACAACTAATTACTAATTATTAATAGTTAATTACTAATTATTATTTACAATGAATATTATGCTGAGCTGTATAACACAAAATCTGTTGATTTTGTACTTATCTCTCAAATAACTTCCAACCGTTCTGTTTTACCCAATATTACCAGCCTGTCGACGCCTATCAAAGACTTAATAATAAGCCAAATGTGTCATCCACGCACCAAACCAAATAGAGTGTGTCATCCCGCACCAAACCAACTAGTGTTTAGTGAGAGGGAGTATTTGAAAACACCCAGAAACAAAGCCTATAACTAGTGTTTAGTGAGAGGGAGTATTTGAAAACACCCAGAAACAAAGCCTATAACACTAAGGCTATCCTATCGTAAGCTTACAAGCTAGCTTAGATGAGTTCAATTAGGCCTAATCTAGTGTGGTAATAGATTTACCTTGAGTCAGTTAATGAGGTATCAGTTAATGAGGTAGATGTATTATATGTGCAGAAGAATCAACAGTTTGGCGCATCATTCAAATTTCAGCCCTAGCAACTTTTAATGGTAGGACAGCGGCCTATCATGGTGGTGACAGGTGACGGAGAATTAGGGTTCAATTCCGGAGAAGAAGACTGAGAAACGGCTACCACATCCAAGAAAGGAAGCAGACACGAAAATTGTTCAACCCTAACATAGGGAGGTAGTGACAATAAATAACAACATTGGGGTTCATTGAGTCTGGTAATTGGAATGAGTACAATCTAAATCCGTGACGAGAATAATTGGAAAGGCAAGTTTGGTGCCAGCAACCGCGGTAATTTCAGCTCCAAGGCGTGAGGTGTATATTGGGTTAAACTAAAGGAAAAATATGGTTTTGGCCACTTGCATTGCCAGTGGACACTTGTCCCTTCTTTCTTCTTGGTTGCGTTTTCACGATTGACTTTCCAATGTGATCTCTCTGCAACATGTCAATTGTGTGTGATCTGTGAGGTGTGAATCTTATTGAGGTTATGGACAAACCTTGACCTATACCAAGTAGAGCTTGATCAGAAACTGGCAGGTTAACTCCATCTTTAGGTTATTTTATGGGTCCCCACAGGGCCACATCATTTTGAAAGAATTATTCAATTTTAACTCCAATAGTACAACTCTCAAACTCATATTAGGTCCCATAACTTTACCTCGCATATTAATATTTTATTCGTATTTAATTTTATTTATAACTTAAAAGAGTATCGTGTGCAATTTTGATTAATATTAATATAAAACAAAATAATTAAATAAATAAAGAATTGTTAAAATAGAAAAAAATAAATGAAGTAAAAAGTATAACAGCAATATTTTATTGAGTTTATTATTATTATATTCAAAGGAACCAATGCTTCACAAACAATGCAACAGCTGGACAACTCCACTAGTGCTTGGAGTTTAGTGACCGTTCTCCAACTTGGGAAACTTGTTAAAGAGTTGGCCCAACACTCTCGGGATTGCTGTTACATAGTTACAAGTCCTTCTTAGGACTGCTTTATACTTATGCTCTATCAATCATCTTAACATTTGTGGAAACCCTTTTTGTTCTAAATCATCTCTTGGGCTTCCGTATATCATTCTTGCAAGGTAATATTGCCTCAACTAATATTATCCAATCTAGTGAGAATGATTAGTTTTATCTATTATCGTATTCCTTTAAAAGGATCAGGTATCCCTTAGTTTATAACAGGGTTGAGAAACTTGAGGTGAGGAATCCTTGTGTTTGTAAAGATGAAGTATCCCTTAGGGTGGGCTATTGTTGAGGTTGTAACAACACTGATTAGCAAAAGAAATAATGAGGAAATTATGAGAAACATACTCAATATTCTAGAAATAACATTCTAGCAAATCCTAAAAAAATTTCAAAAAAAAATTAATGATTGAATTCAAGACTCCGAATATGATCTTGTAATACAACCGAGGTTGAAATATCTTAAATACCTTGCTTGCAAGTAGAAAGAGTGGCCACTGAACCAAAGGAATATCTCCAGAATTTCTTGGCATTAAAAGCAACTCCAGTTCACTACAAGCAATGAAAAAAGGGCATCAATAATACACAGGCCCTTGGTTCGAACCAGGCACTAACATCAATATAAAGTTGAAAAATAAAAAAATTTGTTGTATAAGAGAAAGGAGTAAACAATTAATATACACAAGGCATAACCTACTCAATCCCTAAGAAGACTATGGAATGGAATCAATTAAAAATGGAATAGAATTCAAACAAATAAAACAGTATCTCAATAGCATGCCGGTATCAGATAAGAAGTGGAAGTAAATTAAGATACAGAAAAGATATAGCAGGTCCATGACTAACAAGTTGGCTATATAATCTTCCTCCCTTAGATTTCTTATAATCTCATTCCAAAACGGGGAGAACCGAGAAGCATCAACCTTGTCCTTTTCAACAACCTTCAAAGCAACAGTAAAAGGATAAGTAATGTAACCTTGTAATCAATATGAATAAATATATCATTTGAATGTTAGTGAACAATTATCCTGGAACAATCATATCAACTTAAACTACTCTAATTTTTCCAGTCTCCGTAGCTAAAGGCATACCTGAAATGATGACAGTTGGGCACTCCTGAAAAAAGAAACAGAGAAAAAGCATGTAAGCTTATTTATTTAAAAAAGGCAACACAATTTGTGGGGAAAACAGAAAAGAAAGGATATATTCGCTGACAGGTATAGAAAAGACGGTTTGGCCAATTGCGGAACACGGAAAAGCAGTTTGTTCAAATGTTGCTACACAACAGTGTTATAACGCGGTATAGCCACCAATTAACAACATTATGTACTAATTAGTGTATCGTAGAACAATAGCAAATTGTTCAAACTCCGCCACGCTATAGCACCGTTAGATCTTCTATTTAACAACACCGAATAGAAATAGGACAATAATAAGTTTTCACTATATCTTTTATTTATGCGCATGGGCCTAATGGGCTTTTTGTTCTCTTCCAGTTTTTATTGCTTTGTACAGCTGTAACTAACTGCAGTTAGTTACAGCAATGTGTTCAGCTCCTCTATATATACAAAAACAGAGTGGGCACTGCCATTTTACATTTCAGGAAGTCAAATTAGATTTTCAGACAATGAAATGTTTTCTCATTTGAATTCTCAGATAGCTGGCTACCTTCCAACTACAGAATGAAAAATCACAATTAAAACAAGAAAAAGTCACATATGTCAGGCAACACCTGTTGGGTAGAGCAACATGAAGAGTGTCCATGAAAGCTCCAGGAAACTGCTCAAAAAGCTTTTGTAGCGCTTCCAATGACCTTATCTGATGACCATATGCAACCAAGAAAATAAAACTTCATATTAACATGAAGAAAAGGACAGGACCATCAGCAGGTAAAAGATATTAATAGTAACAAAGCATGTATACTGTTAAAAGGATTTACAGGTTGATCAATCATTACATACCTCACCCAAACGAGCTCTAGCCCCCAGCAAGAATCCCCAGACAGCCGATACAAGTGTATAAAACACATAAATGTCCAACAGATAAATCTGAAATTAAAAGAACTAGCAAATTCAAACCAGCAACCAAAACCCGCCAAAAAACAAAACGGAGAAAAATATAACATTGTGACAGTTAAAGGTAAATAGTAATAAATTATGGATGATGGAAAAACAATTAGAAATCTGTGTATAACAAGAAATACGAACTTATATAGGTTTTCTCAATCACAAGCTTCTATACTATTTACTAATTGAACTATTAAACCAAAAAATATAACCTTCGGTACTGAAAAAATTCCAACTCAATATCAGTTCAAAACCTCTTAAGATAATATATTTATTTGAGTTACAAAAGCTAAGCATGTTTTTCAAGATATAGCCTGTGGCATAAAAGCTTGTTTTGAGTGCAAATGAACCTACACATAACATAACGCTATAAGGCTTCATAAATCATGGAAACAATAGCATGCAGAAATTTCACATTAATATTCTTACTATGAAACCTCTCATTCATGAGAAAAGTAGAAGCAGCTAAGCAGGGGATAAGATATCCTCTTCTCAATTGATACTATTTGAGAAAAGGTAGTCCATAGAACTATTTATAATATTAAAAAAACTTGCACAAAATTAAAGGATTTTTAGTATCAATTTATCCATTTAGCCCACTCCACTTAGTAGAAAGAGACTTGATTGTTGTAAATTGTAAATAAAACTAAAGCAAAAAGGGGGTAAAAAAGTAGTAAAACAACAGTGATGCACTTACACAAACCACTGGAGCCCATATGCTAATAACTGTCAAAGCATTGTGATTATCTGCAAGAATAATGACACTTTAGTAGCCAATAGTATTGACAGGAAACAAAAAAATATAACCATAAATTTAAATCGACCATTGCTTACTTTTAGAGACAAAATCATGCCAAGAGTACACTATATTATTCTCTTTTATTATATCCCTTGTTGGGACCACAAGTGGCTTGATCTGCAAACCTCAAAAATAAAACATTTAAGTGCACAAGCAACATTATCCACCCACACACGCACACACATGAACAAACAGATGCATAGTTCCAATTTGGAGGCAGCTATGAGTATAACACGAACCTGAAGAAAGTAAGCAAACGAAAATTTTGCACTCAAAATGACAAGCCAAAACAGCATATACCTAAGAAAAGCAACAGGGTATATGTTAGACTCAAAAATTTGATGCAAACAAGGTGGTTTTAATCATATACTTCTATATTAAACTGGGAAGAACACATGACAAAGTCCCTCTGAAAGAGAAACCTTTCTTATTACTCACTTCTAACTATAACAACACAAAAATGTATTGGAAGTGGAAGCAAGAACCTACATGCGTTATAAGTTTAAAAAAATACAAAAGAGTGAGAAGACTATATCTAATGCATACTTTATGAAATCCAAACTCCTTTCGTACATTCCCCGGCCAACGTAATACCGTTCCTTCATTTGTCAATATAAAAGAACCGATATCAGCATTCAGCATAACCACTCATGATATGAACAAAATAAAAAAGATGAATTAATAATAAAATTACAAAATCAAATGCACATGAAGACACCATACCTGGCGCAGCCATTTCGCAAAGCGAATGAGAGGCCAGCTGTCACACCGGTTTGTCAGAAGATGGCATGCAGGAATCCGCATGAGGAAACTAATGAAAAACTGAACACCGGCATAAATCCCAATGACAAGCACATATAATTTGAAAATAACTGAATTCGAATCTCTTTTACTCTCTTCCTGGAGTGCTTTTCTGCAGTCATACAGAGTTGTAAATGTAAAATCATCAACACAGCAGTAAAAAATTAAACCGAAAAATACTAAAAAGCTGAAAATATAAGATAAAGAATCATTGTTTTAGGTATACATACATATAAAGGAAAGTTACAAAAACTGAAGTAACGCTAAACCAAATAAATCTTAGAAATATTCGTGATAAAGCTGAACGCCTCGTCGTTTTATATGCACCGTACATCATGAAAATGTCCAGGACACCTGAAAAAAGAAACAAAAAGGTGAAAACTTATACTTGATGAGGACAAGAAATATAACACTGGCAACAAAAATTATTCCATTCCTGGAAGACATTCAACAAACAAAACAGAGTTTGAAACTAAGATGAGAGATCTAAAACTTCAAAACAGAAATATACATACTCTCAAAAAATTTCATCACAACAAATGTGGGTCCAAGACTAAGAACCTCTCGCCAGGTCTTGGCATCAAATCTTCCATCATTGAAAGCAATAATTGCTAGACCCTAAAAAGATGGAATAGTGTGAAAAATATAATGATGCAAAAATCAAATACTGTAACAACCATGAAACCAAATACCGGTTAAAGTAGATAAACAAAAGCATAATGGAGAAAACAATTTAATGTCAAAAACAACATATGAGAACAGAAGCATTTAAGAATCTATTATCTGTTTCAAAAACAAAAAAAAAAAATCTATTATGACTAGTCAAAACTAAACGTGTGTACAAACCTGGAACATCATGAAAAGAAATATCCATAATCGGTGGAAACTATGATAAAGATGAAAAAAAGTCCGATGCTCCACAAAAGATGTTTTCCCCTGACGCTGACTTCTGCCAGATGAAATTTTCTGCATTGTACACAAGATAAATAAATAACCACAGCATAACAAACATATTGAAGTTAGAAGTCAACAGTTCATCAAGACCCAATAGGATATTAAGATTCATCTTTTAGGATTCTGCAATAGGTTAAGCTGCCTTTGGGGCCAATCTACTATAATCTGCTTTGAAAGCTTTTATGATACATGTTTACTCATCCACACACATCACCATACATTTGTTATTCCAAAACTCTAAATCAACAAAGCATTCCTATTATGCCTCATTCTTAAAAGTTAAAATCAGTAACACTGTCCTTTAACAGAATCCAACATAGATGTGCAATAAAATGAACTGTGTGGTGTAACAAGAGAGGTTCCTAACATATAATTAAGAAAAGACAAACCTTAGATCTATGTTCTGGCTTTTGGAAAAATGAAGAACTTTTGCGCCACGGCCAGCTAAGCTCAAAGCAATGTAATGACCTGAAAAAGTTCAGAGGTCAAGCTACTAAATAAGTATAATGTAACGAGTTAGTGCCCAGTTTCCGATAATATTGTAATGAACTAGCAAGTTTAGCACCGCTGTACAGTCAGCTAGTGGTTTACGATGTTCTAAAGAATGTAGCAAAATTAGTTAAATTTATCATAGGAGAACTAAACAAGTTAACAAAGTTGTGATAACCTTCGGTCTTGGTGTTTATAAAGCTGGATGTATTGTGAACAAGGATACAGTCAGCATTGAAAAATAGGTTGAAGCAGAGGAAAATAGTGTTTTCATTGGTAGAATTAGGAATCGAAAAGAGAAAACCGAAAGAGTTTCAGTCTCGAAGGCCATTTTTTAACATCAAATAAACTGATAGAATATGTAAATTGGAATTTATTTATGAGAACATTTATAAGACGAGCACGTAGTTGTGCTTCGTTAAACATATATTTTATTGTATAATACTCCCTCAGTCTTAAATTATAACTTGTTTTGGACATCTCACACAAATTAAGGAGTGTAATTAATTTTGTATGAGGAACTGAAATTATGCATTATTTTACAATACTTGCCCTTCATTAATTATATAGGAAACTATAGGCATGACAACGGAGCGGGTCGGAGACGGTTTTTACCTCCCCCAAACTCAAACCTGAATCTCCAAATAATCCCCGTTCCCCACCCCAAACCCAAACGGAGATGGAGGATTAAAACCCAAACCCGTCCCAAACGGGTTCGGGTATCTCCACCCCGCCACCATCCATTTAATAAAATCAATTTTTTTAATACAAATCTATTTTTTCAAAAATCAAATTACATTATAAATAATAAAGTAAAACAATTTCAAAAAATTTCATACATACATTTCAAATATTTTAAATAATAAATATAAATCAAATTATCAAAACATTGGCCACATCTTTAATATTCTAAATTATCAAAAATAAATAATAATGTACATAATGAAATAAACGCGGCGGATACTAGTGTCTCCATTATCCAACCCGTCCCCATACTTTGTAATCGGGAAAACACAAACTCAAACCCAAACCCAGTCAAAGCGGGTTTTCCTCGTCAACTTCGAGGCAGGTTCGGATGGGTACCCTCAGATACGGGTTTTGTTGCCATGCCTATAGGAAAGAGAAATTAAAAGAATTGGAAGAAGAGAGAGTGATGAATAAAAGAGGGTAAAGGGTAACCCAGTGCACGAGGCTTATAAATTGGGACCAAAAAATTTTGCAAAGTGATTTATAATTTGGGACGGTGGGAGTATTTGTTTTAATTTAATTTACTTGTTTCAATTTTATATCTAAATGAAAAATCAATTTCAATATTCATGTTGTAGGTTTTCAAATTTAATTTCAATTTGGGAAATACTTGTGCTGTTAAGGGTAAATTTATCCAAAAAAAATAAAAATCAACTAAATTTGGTAGGTTATTTTTTACCTTTAATTTAATTATGTTGTACCGGGTTGTTAAGGGTACATTTGTCCAGAAAAATGTCCCACCAAAATTGGTAGTCGGGTAAGTGGTAATTAACTATAAAATTCCCTTTATATAATGGTATAAATTATCTGTAATTATCAGCCAACTATCCCCCTAGTCCCAATTCTAATTTGCATCAAATGACTCCTCTCAACCCTGCATTCCTATTTATAGGCACCTAGCTTAGTTATATACAGGTAAGAAACTATTCAAATAAAAGTGATGGTTGCTGAAGAATATTTACCAGAAATACTCATTAAAATCATCGTAATTTCTCCAAGATGAATGAGATGCCTTCCCATTATCATTGTTTCCAGCTTCCTGAAAGTCCATAGAAATAAATGATAAATTCCTACAGTACCACGAGGATTAATAAAGTTTTTTTTAAACTTGGTATCCGGTCCTAGCACCGGCTAAGCTGGGAGACCAATCATGCCGTCTACTAAGTTAATGAGGGGTCAACTGAAGCGAGCAAAGCTATGTATGGATTGGACTGTCCCAGCACAGAAAATTTGACAGAGAAGAGACTTCAAATGAGTGTTTCTCAAAACTGATTTTCGTATTAATTAATCAGATTTGAAATTTTTTAATTATACTGAAGAGACTAGGGTTGCAAAAACTAACTCCTAAATGAAAACAAAAATATACTGGAAAACTGGCTGTAGGACTATATGAGACTACGAGTGTTCTTAAAATGAAGAAACTATAACTCAAATTTCTATAAAATTCAATTGTTTCAATTGAATTTCCTTCATTATTAATTCTTTTATTTAAGTACAGTAATTAGAATTTTGTGTTTCAATAGAGTGTACCATAATGTACAACAATAATCAAATTAGGGAAGTAATGCAGTACACTATTTTGTTAGTAATAGTATACAGATACATTTCAAATTTTAAATTACGAAAAGACACTCAATTTTTTATGCCTCTCACCCAAATCATATCCACTTTTGTTACCTTGGGGTTTTTCCAACACCAATTGACCACTGAGCAGCACTCCCTATCCACTTGGCAATGCAACCCACCATGATTTCCGTGCACCACAGAAGCACCTCAAACACAAAGGTGTGTCCCTACTACTGTGAAATTAGAGTCGCAGCCAAGTTTGCTATGCTCCCACCCCAGCCAAAATCATGTTCTCTTTTCAACTAAAAATCCTTCCCCAACCCTCCTTTTGCCCCCTCCTAAATGACATCATGGCCAAGGTTTGTCAAATCAATGTTGCATGGCAACTGATTGTCGAAATTGACCAACAAAACCTCACCCCCAACCCTTTGCCTTCTTCATATGTACGGTGCCTTGTCTTAACAGGACCCACGCGACAAGCTGTTAGGGCCTTTGACGACATTGAAGATTTCAAGGACACCAAAACAACATCCAAACACTTAACAGTTTTTCTCAACACCGCTCTCAAAGTATGACCACAGGAAAATTGTTGTTCGGGTTTTGAATAAAAACAAAAACCACATCATGTTAAAGCCCAATGAGAAAACACACATCACTGTGTTTAACAGGGGATGTAGGTAGGGAGCATCAAGCAGTGCAGTTGTTCTGGAGGGAGATGAAGGAGCTAAGGATTAAGCCAAATATCATTACTTACAAAGTTGTTCTTGATTTTGAAGGAGATAAAGGTACTGCTGAGTCTGCACAAATGATAGGGATTGTTTTCTTTCTGCAATTTTGTTTAAGAATGTATGGTACCACTAAACCAATATGAAGACAGTTTAAGGGGTCCATTTTGTTCTTGTGTGTATCTTTGTAGGATTAGTTTTAACATGAACTCAAAAAAGTGAATATATTCACTATCTTCTATTCAAATTACTGAAATGAATGACCATGCATATTCAAAAAAAGTAAGATAGTTAGATAGTTAGATGATTTTATGCATGTTCGCAGCATAAAACTATAGGCAGCATAGACTGCTGATTTGCAGAACATATTTTAAGTTTTGACATCGTAAAGTTCAATAAAATTTTAATTTTAATGGAACACTGAGACTTACTGCAGAAATAACTTCATAGAGAGGAAGGATAACTTGATCAAGAAATGAGACACCATTCTCGGAAGTGCAACTATTAGCTGTATGTGCAACCTGCTGCCTTAAGATCTCATCCATCTCTCGAGCCATCTGCATATATTTACAAGATTTAATCATAAACGATATCCAAGGATACCCAAGGAGGGGTATATACAAAAGCAACACAGAAACAGGGAATAAAAAGTTACCAAAATAATTAAAACAGAAACTAGGGAGCAACAAAATCATCGGAATTATTGTGTGATTAGAAAAGATATAGCACACCCTCACGACTGGACATCTGGAGCTCGATCCAATAGTGAAAACCTAGTAGTAGGTGGTCCAACAAATTTTGTATAGACTCTAATGCTATATTAGAATTTAGGATGGGTCAAACACAACCCTTATAAAACCGAAAACCGACTTATAAAGTGAAACTTGTGTTGAATGAGATGATTTGAATTGTTTGAGAGAGAGATTACTCTAAGCCTTGTTATTTATAACCAAGTGATTAGAATCAAATCTACAACTAAATCCCTATTGTCTTCCCTTACCTGACCCTATAATTTCAACAAAATCCAATAGGAATTCATATATATCTAAAAAAGTTGCATCCCTGTTTGCATTAGTAATTATTGAAGTAAAAGAAAATGAGAGACATTTGCACAACGGTAATTTTAATATTGGGAATTACACGGTTAAGAGTAATAATTACTAAAGAAATATGCTACGGAATATTCTATTCTAAGAATATATTAACAAATATCAACAAAACATCGACAAGCTGAGACCAATATGCATTCAAATAGTGAAGCAACCAAAGAAGCGTGGAGCCTGCCAATGGCGGCGAGAGTGGTAGCGGAGCGCAACAGGGTCGCACACTTCAGAGGGGTTTCATGGGTCGAAGGGCGGTTGAGGGTCACGTTTTGGAGTGGTTTTTTTTACCACTTTTGTTTTTTGTTAGAACAACCAAAATTACCCCTTAAATTAAAGCATATTAAGGGTAATTTGGTATTTTTCTCTGAATTTGAGTGCTATCTGTTTAACCATGACAATTCCCTTCCATTTGTTGTGTGTATCATTCATTGTTTTCCTTCAAAACACAAGCTCCTTTGTTCAAGCTTCACTTCATTCTCGATCTTTTCCTCCTTCAAGCTTTTGATTTGTGTCTTTTCCCTCATTTCTTTTCCTTCATTTTTTCACTTCATTCTCGATCTTTTCCTCCAAGCTTTTGATTTGTGTCTTTTCCCTCATTTCTTTTCCTTCATTTTTTTCTTCTTTCCCTCTCCCTCTGTTTATTCTCATTTCCTTACCTTCTTCGTTTTTACTGTTGTTTTCTAACTATTTTTAATCTTGTTATTTGTGAATCTTATTTCTCTTTTTTACTTTGTTTTTCTTTCTCTGTTTTAATATAATTTTTACATGAAATAATATATGTATAGTATTATTCATGTAATTTGTCAACAAAAAAAATATATCAAATAGCGCTCATCCTGCTACCCCACTTTCAAAGTCGGCCGTCCCGCCGCTATCTGGAATTGACTACCAAGCTTTAGAAGGCAATATCACGGCAATAAATGCCAATCAATTGAATACTAAAAAACTTTACGGAAACTAGTAAAGATAAATATGACGCAGACACTGATCAAATTAACTTACATGATGGAATATGTAGCACAAGCATTCAGGTAGAAACCTGACATTTGAAGCTTCTCCCCAAATTAGGAGGTATAAAGAAACATACAGCAATTTCTTCTCTTTAGTAACAGCTTCCAAACTAAAAACACAATAGCCCCTACAATATCAGTAATCATGTACATAGATCACAAAACACAATGATTTTCATACATAATATAAATAGTAGCAGTACCTGCTCCAGACAGGCTGAATGCATAGGTAGTTGCACCAATTTGTGTAATTATCGAGGGATTTGAGGAATACTTCATGCAAGGCTGCTTCATCCAATTTCTGGAAACAAGAAATACATGATGAGAATAAGAACAAAATAGCACAAAAGATTGCCAACGGTGGGAGAACAAAATAATGATAATATATGAAATTATAATGCGGGATTAGTGGACAACTCCTTATTGTGGTTACTTTGATTACCTTGGTTAGCTAGCTAACTATACCTAGATTAAATGTAAAGACTTCAGTTAGTCATTCAATAGATTTTCAGCTTCACAAACACTTTTAAAACCCTCTTCTCTCTGAGTTCTCAAATCCTCGTATAGCATCAAGAACCCTCTTCTCTCTGAGTTCTCAAATCCTTGTATAGCATCAAGAACCCTCTGATCCTGATGGCTTGTGAAAATCCTCTTCATCCACCACCAGCAACCTCTAAAAACTCCATTTCCGGCACCTCTTGTAAATGCCTAGGCATTAGTATAATTCAGAAACTATTAGTAAACTACATTCACACACTTTTTTCTCTAAAACTTTCTGCATTTCCTTGTAAGGCACCCTATCATTTGCGTTATTTTATATATTAATGAAAATTTAGAGTAGTTCTTTTGAAAGTTGGAGACCACATCATCCCACAAGTCATGCGGTTTAAATATTTTGGGCCCGTAATACAAACCGATGAAAAATAGAAGGGGATGGAAACCTAAATAATCTTTTCATCAATCTTTGTAGCAGTATCTTGCTTACCAGGTAAACCTAAATAGCAAAAACCAAATTTATCTTCTATACTACATGCCCCTTCTCTTCATCTCCTTAAGACTATCCTCTCCCATGGCTTGATAGTACGCTATGCATTTAATCATCTTAAAACCACCCAGTTTTATATGTGAATGTCTATTAAACTCGTTTCATGCAAATAAAACAATTAACAAAGAAAAACTTAAGGAAATCCAACAAGGAAAATGATCCTCGAAGCGAAGAGAATCAAATACTTACGGGTTCAGTTTTGTCTGGAACTCCAAGCCGAGATTGCTCATTTGCAAGCAGATGAACTATGTGTTCGCGCTGATTAGCTACATTATCTTTCTGGCAGCAAACACATCACCATAAGTGAGAAATATGAGTTCACAAGAAAAGCCAATGTGAAAATGATTCAGACTTATAAGAGATCAAATAAGTCCGAGATGATAAAAATTGCTTACTTCTCACAAGTAAAAGGAAATAAAATCATAAGCAACACCGTTAATCACAATTGTGAAGAGTTCTAAATCTAAACAAATTACTTTTAATTTTCAGACTGAATGAAGCCATTGCTTTAGAATCCAATTATCCAGTGCCACCAAATAAGATCAGTTGAAGAAAATTCAATCCAGCAAAACAAAAAATTATTCCGTATATTATATATGCATCGTGGTTTTTACATTGGGAATTCCTTTTCTACTTCTAAAATACTTTGCAGGTTTAAATAATCTCGCTACTTTCCATGGTATGTCCATTTTAAAGTTCTATTTCATCCAGCGTAAGTTTTAAAATTGAGACTAAAGTTATTAGAGACTTGGGTGATCCAGAGAAATACAGTCTCTTCGTCATTTACTGCCAACACAGCCAGATTTGAACCTTAAAATCTCAATACAATCTTCTCATCATTTACTGCCAATTCAATAGATTTGAACTTTGAAATCTCAACAGAAGTCTCAACTCTCAACCATCAAAGGCTCTTTCTCGACAATGCCATTGGCAAGTCCACAACTTTTTTAATGTCAGATCATTTGTATACATAGGAGTACATAAATGGGCAAATACAGATTTGTTGTAGCTCTGTAGAGCTCACACTATTCCTCTGATAGGATGTTGGTATTGATATTTAGTTCACAAACGGCGGTCAGATGCTTTTTCATTTTAAACTTTTAAAAATAGAAATTTCACTTTCGGGAGCAATCATTTTGGAATGAAAAGGAACTCATGGTGCAAGTTGCAACTTTCCACCCCTTGTTTTGAGACAAAATGGTACACATGAAGCCAGTCACTCTAGTTGGCTTCCCAAAACATATATGCATGCAAAGGGACTCTAAAAGTGTGTATAAGTGTTGATGCGCAGCCAATACTAGTATTAGCGTACCAAGACTAATATATTTTAATAGATACGACAATTTGGTTTCACTGTGTATTAGAGATAAAGAAAGGCTAATTCAAACCCAAAAACAATAAGAATAAATGAAACTTGAAAGAACAAGACCAATCTTGACTTGACAACTGACACCAAATAAAAACCGCACTTATACAGACCTGAAATCCAAAAGTATACTGCAGAAAATCTAACATGTTGGCATTCCTTGTAGGAGGGATGAAATAGGCCCTGGGCAGTTCAGGCAAGCCATTGAAATACTTCAGAGCTGAAATTGCTGCTTGCACCTAACAATGATAAACTCCAGGTGAGAAGACATCAAAAATAAATGGGATCCTAAATAAAGAAGCTCAAAAACCTCGGGGAAAAAAGCAATAGCATTTGTTGAAGAAGCAGCATCTATAGGGATGATGTTGTAAGCAATCAGATCCTCGGTTGATGCAGAATCTGATTCCATGACCCGCTTAAGCTGCAACAAAGATACAGTTGAAGAGTTGTTCAGAGTTCAGAAATATAAATGATATAAAAAAAATTGTTTCAAAATTCCACACCTTTTTTTAACATAAAAAACATCTTACCTCACTCCTCATAATGCTATTAGAGTCAGAAAAAAAAAAGAAGCAATACAATCAAAACAAAATTATTAAAAAGGAACTATAACGACAATACTAATCCTGATGAAATCATGTATTCTCCAAAACTAAACAAATACACCATAGCAGCTTCTATCAAAAAATACAGCAAACATTAGATTGTTTAATAGAGCACTTCTATCTCCATTCAAAAATCCGTCAACAATGCAGTAACAAAAGGCTAATAATAAACTATTGAGGCACCGCCTATTAGATAAGAATTTATTATACTAGTGAAAATAATAATTAATAATTACGTCTGGAAAGCTTTACTGTGAAAACACCATGTTTTACTGAGGTACAGAAATATATCGGGTTTCAAAAGACCATACACAACTCAGAAAGAATAGTAGAATCTAATGAAAAGTAGTAGGATTAAAACAATGGGAAAATCATCAATTCTAATACAGATTAAAGGAAAGTACTCCTTTACTTTATATAATGAGTGACCTATTTGGCAAATTCAGAAAATGTATAAATGAAAGAATGAAAATAGTACTCTTACTAAATTGCCCATGTCAGTATTGGTGCATTCACCATTACCATAAATGCAAAGTGGAAGAGATTGACTTGAAAGTGATGCAAGTAGTTTAAATAAGAGGGTGCAGTTTGAAAAATAAAGTAATTAATAGTTTTACAAATGGAAAGGGTCATTCATTCCGAAACAAATGTCTTTTACAAATGGCTCACTCATTGTGGGACAGAGGGAGTATTAAGTAAAAAGTCACCACCGCTTTTACAAAGCTATTATTTATCAGCAGTTCCCATGCAAAAATTTATCCCATCCACTTCAGTTATTCTTTAACTATTTAAAAAAAAATTAAAAATTAAAAGAAGCAACAGAATATTGCAAAATTAGTATCTACTCAAAATCATATATTGGTGTTAGAGTATAGAATTATATGGGGCAAAAGTGCTTGCACAGTTTCTGTTAAGTAGTTTAAGTTGTACTGCATTATTACTGATAGGGCTTATGTGAAACTGGCAGCACTGTGATGTATCTAAGATTAGAGTCCCTACAGATTTGTGAACTCTACAATAGGAATTTAATTGAACCCATATCTCAATGAACTAGACTACACATTTCAGAAAACATTGCATATGGTTTTCTCTCAAATCCTGATTTTTTACTTTTTATAATACTTGGAATACCTTATTCCATAATCATATTAATAGATTACATTAGTTCAGAGAAGGAAGAACCGAACCTCATCAGGAATTTCTTCACTCAGCTGCTCAAGTACTGTTCCTAAAACCTTTAAGGTAGCAAAAACCCTTTTCCTCTTCACAGTCTTACGCTCCAACCTGTATTCAGCATGAAAGACTTAATGTAAGAAAGAAGGGGGGCAAAGAGCAGTGTTATCGATGACGGATGGCAGTCCATGGCGGAGAGCCAAATCCCGTCACATTGGCTTCTTTTTGACATCATCATTGCGGATTATAGCGAAAAAACCAGCAATATTAGCCGATATTTACCATTGCGGCCAGCCCAAAAACCACCATGATATACCGCCTTGGCGGATATTCAATAACACTGGCAAGGAGGAAGAACAATATCATATAAATAGGCAATACACACATATCAGTCAGAAACATACTCGCCAAGATTACGGCTGAAAGCACCAGATTCCCTCAATTGCATTTCCTCCTCAAGTAATTTATCCACATTATTTTTCTTTCTGTAACTCTTGTAGAACTCCTGTAATCGGGCAATGTCCTGACTTCTATCTATGGTTCCAACTTCCCTTTTAGCCAACTTTTGCTGAAAATATAAACAAAAAACAAAGATAAAATGAGGACGCTGAATCCTTTAAAATTGTAAAACCACGCGTGATTTTACAGCTTAGATATTTTATAAAACAGCTACACTATGTAGCTATATCTCAATAAACTGGTGAGGTCTTAATAACTATGGTAGAGCGCGTGCCCCAAAATATGAAGTGGTGAGGTCTTAGTTGGAAATATTCAAAAATATAGTTTGATCTAAAGATCCTGATAACATTGCATTATACAGAAACCAGAATTAACTAGTTATCAAAATGACTAAAAGGCAAAACTCTCATAAATCATGCAATAAGATTATAAGAAATGAAGCTAAATGGTGTAAACATTTCATAGTTGGGCTTTCACAAACCGTGCAGCAAAATTCTAATATACCAACCAAGCCTGAGCTGTAATACAGAGTCACAGTCACAAGTAAATAAAAACATACTAGTACTAAGATTTCAAGTGCTCCGGTCAAAACTTTTGAACTACATAAAGCTTCGATATTACCTTAATGACAGACATCAAACCGGTCTTGAATTGTAAAACACCTCGGCCTTCACTGTTGGGGTCCAAATTTTGAGATAATGAATATGCATGCTCACATACTGCAAAAAGTAAGAATTATTAAGAAAGAAGAATGGATATAGACTCTAGAGGATCTTAGTAGTCAAATTGAAATATATAAAAACATTATGAACCAAAAGGGTTTTCATTAAAAAGACTTTTACATGTTTCATCAATTAACATTTTCCTATAGTCACCACTCACCACTACCACAGGAGAAAGCTAAGAGATAATATACAATCAAAATACTTCATATAGCTTCTAAAGCTGAGATGCAGTAAAAAAATAGCAAATGCAATATAATGGAAGACTCTTCATATAGAATGGGCACAGATAGAGCACGAGATAAAAACAGCATGAACACCAACATACATATTCGAGAAACTGTGGGAGCATCGTCTTGAATTTCATCTGCAACTCTTAAAATTTCATCAATATCTCTATTTTTAGCAAGTGCAGATGGCACATTTCCAGCAATTCCACCAGCAGGTTGCCCAAATGCATCATCACCAGTTCTTTCCCTTCTTAAAGCAGCACGAACTAACCGCTCCCAGAGTTCTTCAGCTCGAGACATCTACTAACATGCATTAAATACAACACAAATTAATGTTTTAGAAGACACAATGATAAACCAAAACTCACTCATAAACACAAAATGATAAACCAAAACCCACACATTCATCAAGAGCACGTGAAGTACAAACCAAAATAACCGGCAACATTGACAAATGAAATATTTTACAAAAATGTACAAAATTTGAATTTCTAACAGGAAATTAACTTCTCTAAGGTACCTTTCTAGCAGGAAAATTAACCATAAGCTAAAACGAAAGTTCAAAAAAAGTAAGAGTGAGCAAGAAATAGTGACTTGGCATTGTTTCACCATCAACGAATCAGTATTGTTCTATACGCAAATAACACTCTTATACAATTCAAATCAGTGAATTGGAACTATGCAGTCAATTATACAGATTCAACGCGTTGCGGTTCCGACTGAAGCTCTACTCTACTGCGACGCAATTCAATCGTGCGTCGCCTTTGGCAGGGGTAGGTGACTATCGCCACCGCAGATCGCGGTTGAATCGCGTCCTAACGCACGTTATAGAAAAGGAGAAGAAAAATCCTTGAAATGGAAAAAAAAATGAAAACCTGGACTCGGTCACTGGATGTGGCGGTCGAAGCAACCTCCGGTGCGTTTTCCGGCGAGTAGAGTTTTGTGCTACTCCAACTCGTTTTTCTGATACAATGTCAAACGCGGTTTTTGTATGGAGTTTTATTGTGTTAGGGTTTTGAAAACGATTTCGTCTGAGATGAGGTAGAAGAAAGTGAAAGGAAATGAAAGTGAGTCGAGAGGAAGATGCGTTTTGTTTTTTCGTTTGGTAGGAGCGAAAGTAAAACGAAAGAAAGGCGTGAACTTTTCTTTACTTTTATTTGATTGAGTGGAGAATAGGAAGAAAGATAAATACTAGTACTAGTATATTAGTACTCAATACTTTCTATTCTTTAATCATGTTAAGATAAAGTTTAAAGAAGATACACCGATATTTAAAAAAGTTTTACATTAACATTCAATAAAAATATATCGTTTTTTATGTTATATAAATTTTTTGAAAATGACGGTGCGACTAAATTAAATTCATAGTCGTAATTTATACTTGTAGAAATATATTTTTTCAAAATGTTTAATTCTTTAAAATATAATATTATTTTATTTAATTAACGTTTTTGTTTTTATAATTCTTCTTCCGTGCCCTTATGACCCTATTTAAAATATTTATTAATTTGAAAATCATAAAAGATTTATGTAAAAGTGAGATTAATTAAATATTACTTTGATATTTATTAAATTTTCTTTTTCTCTCACAATTATTTCTTTGATTACATTTTTTTTTTTAATTTCTTTTAACTTTTTTATTTGAAAACATGTATATACAATAATATCTCAACTCAATTTTTTTTTTAAATTAACATAAAATCATTTTATAAATTATTTTTATGGGTCAGTCTAAAATTTTATTGAGCGATCCAATCTAAATTATGAAAAACACAAATTCAATCAATTGATTTAAAATGATAGGATCGTATTTTTAAAGTTTTTTTTATAGTTTAACATGCATGTTTGTGGGTTAGTCTGATGAGTTTAGCTATTTTAAGAGTGTTATAATCATTATAATATATAGATCCGTTTGTTTTAACTTTTTTTTTTTAATTATAAAGTTAAATATTTTTGTTAAAAAATTATTTAAAATTTAAAAATAAATAAATCAAAATTTATTTAAATAGTTATTTTTAAAATATTATTTTAGATATTTCATTAGTTTATTATAATTTTCAATGATTTTAAAATTAGATCGATCATTAAATCGGCGATGGTATTGAATTACTAGTTTATTAGATTAATCTGAATCATTATTCGAACTAAAAGACTAAATTAGATTAATCTGAATAACTTAGTTAAATAAATTGGTCTCCATAATAAAATTGTATAATTATTAAAAATTCGAACCGATTGACTCAGTCTCAAAAAAAAATTAAGACACCATCAAAATTTCAAAATATCATAATTTCACATTTTCATTCTTTAAATTCAAATTCTAAAGATAGTTATCACACACAATATTATAGTACAAAATTCATATCTAAATAAATTTTGAACAAATTTTAATTCTATCGAGAGAAAGTCGTTCTAAATAAGTTTTGAATAAAGTCTATTTTTATTTTTATTTTATTTTTAAGAAAAAAAAATTATCAAAATGACATCCTTTTATCTTAGAAAAAAATAATTATTTAATCCGTCAATTTTTTAAAATCGTCTGTTCATCCATTTTTATCGGTTCAATAACTTATCGGTCCAACAATCAGACCAAATCGATGATCTATTTTTGAGATACAACTTTTTTTTTTAAATAATTGATTTTAACTATGTTTTAATCTTCAATAATATATATTTATATTATAGGATGTCAAAATTAGTTTTTAATTTAAAATAATATTTTTATAAAAAATATTCTTAAAAATAAATAAAAAACTATTTTTAAAGGTAAAATAAACATGCTCTATGCAAGTAACTAAAATACTTCAGAGTTGAAATTGTTTTCCACCTAACAATAAAAAATTAAGTAATAAAAAAATCATCCATCATCTGTTGAAGTAATACTTATTGGGATGATGTTGTAAGCAATGAGATGAATAAGCTTCAACAAAGATAAAATAAGAGATGTTGACGTTCATAAATAAATTATATTAAAAAATAACTCAAAATTCAAGCTCACATAAAAAGTAATACAATCAAAATAAAAATAGTAAAAGAAACAATAACATTAATATTAAGCTTGATGAAATCAGACGTTCTACAAAATTATACCATGAGTTTCTTCACTCAATTGCTCAAGCAATATTAATTAAATTATTGTTCAAAGAATGAAGAATCCTACCTTTTTAGAAATTTCTTCACTCAATTGCTCAAGTACAGTTTCTAAAACCTTTAAGACAGCAAAATCAACTTCCCTCTTAACAGCTTTACAATCCAACCTATTTTCAGTATGGAGAACTTTTGTGAAAATGAATAATCAAAACAAAATTAAAATATATATATACTCAAGAAACAAAATTAGAAGTCATAAATGAATAAAGTTTTGATATTAGTCAAGAAACATACTCAAGATTCTGCATTTCTTCTTCACATAATTCATCCGTATTATTCTTCTTTCTGTAACTCTCGTAGAACTCTTGTAATAGACCAAATTCTTGCTTTCTATCTATACTCCCTATTTCTCTTTTAGCCGCCCTTTGCTGAAAATTTAAAATAAAATAAAAAAACATAATGATTTTTCAGCTTAAAAATTATAAATATTTATTTCTTTCTATTGTAAAAAATCTACAAATATAACTTAAAACAACTATGCTTATACCTTCATGACAGACATTATAGCAGTCTTGAATTGTAAAACACCATCTTTATTGCGGTCCAATTTATGAGATAATGAATATGCATGCTCGCATACTAAAAAAGAGTTAGAATTATTAGTAAGAAGAACAAAGAATATAGGAAATATTGCTAGTATTATTAATTTATTATTGCGTGAACATGAACATACATATTCGAGAAATCGTGGGATCTTTGTCTTGAACTTCATCTGCAACTCTTAAAATTTCATCAATTTCTCTACTTTTAGATGACACGTTTTCAGCAATTTCATCATCTGTTATTTCCCTTCTCAAAGCAGCATGAACCAACTTCTCCCAAAGTTCTTCAGCTCGAGACATGTTCTAACATGCAATGAAATCAAATAAATTAACGTTAAGACAAAACGAGAAAGCAAAAGTCATTATAACCATCAACATAAATAAATGAAATATATGTTAAAAATGTACCTTGTTCGTGTGTCTTAAGAGAGAGTCTTGCATGGCACCATTCATCAAGCAATATTGTTTTATATCAAAAATACTTGACACTTTAGTACACTTCAAATAAGTGGATTGTTGACGTCAAAAAGAAAGTGGATTGATTGTTTAGAGCTTTTAATCGATCTTATCAAGCAAGGAAATACAGTCATTACTTGTACTAGGTTTACTTTTTCTTTATGCAGATCTTAATAACCAAGCAAAGTCACATTTACAATGTTGTCTTTTTCTTTATTTACAATGTTGCCCTCGATAAGAAGCCCAAAAGTGCAGTTCAAGAATATCACTAGGACTATCAAAAAGATCAGTGTCACTTGAATTTACATCACGGCCGATTCTAGCAAGAAAGTTTTGCCACTCATCTGTAATGAATTAAATTAACCACAAACCGATATAACAGTAGAAAAACAACAAAGCACAAAAAGCATGAGTATACAATAATAGACTTGAGTAGGAAGCAACAAAAATCATTTCATTAATTGCTGCAGGACAAAAGCAATCCTAATACACAGAACAAACTTGGCTTTTCAACATGAGGACACATTTCAAAAACACAGAAGTTACCAAAATCAAAAGATCAGAATCAAAAGCAATCCTAATACACAGAACAATTTTGGCTTTTCAACATATGGACACATTTCAAAAACACAAAAGTTACTGGAATCAAAAGATCAACTAAACCAACTTAATTTCAGGTGAGATCCTGCCAGCCCTTCTTTGGGCCACAAAAGCAGTTACAATTAACTTCAACAAGCAAAAGCAAGCCAGCTGACCAATCTCAAAACAGCTAATAAAAAACAAATTAATAAAATCATGCAGACCTATAGGTAATTTGTGTCGGCGTGAGAAAAAATCAGGAAAAATTTAGGAATGACAAATATTTTGTTTTACCCCACAACCTAGAATATGATAGAGCTTCCTCTATATCAGCAATAAAGAACACGGATAAAATGGACTTAGGGTAATCAGGTCAACTCTCTATCCAGTGAGAGGAAAAGATTTAATCATCACTAGCAAGACTGAAAGTATTTAGGTTGGCCCCATTGCCAAATAGTAAATCATCACATCAGACAGCTGTTAAAGTAAATAATTGGGTTGCTATGCATTCTTTTAAGTAGGACACTACGTAAATAGGGTCTTTAGCACCCCAATGGCTCCAGAGTATCCCAAAAAATGATGTCCTTTGGATCAACTATGGGACAAATCTCTGCTCAAGCGCTCCGATCACACAGCTTAAAGCTCTTTGAAGTTCGCCAAGAACGAGTTTTGCAAGGACCAAATGGCAGTTCTCTAGCACATCAGAGCGCTGATTAACCAACAGAGTCAGACTCATTGGGTAGCTGCTGTGCTGTGCATTTAGAGTAAGCGCCCCTGAGCAGGTCCATTAATTATATGAGACAGAAAAAATAAGATAATTAAATCCAGCCCCATCAACGTATTTCAACCGGCCTAACTATCACTAAATAATAGTGGTCAGGCTCAGTGTTATCAATTGCAGCACCATGGCCGCTACGGCGGATATACATGGCCGTTTTGGGACTCGCTGCAATGGTAAATATCAGCCAATATTGCGGGTTTTTCCACCGTAATCCGCTATAACAGCGCTGCAAAGCAACCGGTATGGCAGAATTTTGGCTCTCCGCCATCAACAAAATCGGTCAGGCTTGATTTTCACCCAAAAAAATCTACGTAGATAAAGCAAAAATAGAGCCAACCTGATAAATTTCAATTGATACACATTAAATCAAATATGCCATTCAATAGGATCTGATATTGTTGTGATTGAAGCCAAGTTATGCAAAACTACCTGGAAATATCTTCTGAAGGTAGAACAAAATTGAAATGCCATCCTCGTTTTTCTTTTGAAGTTCAGCCATGCTATAAAGCACAATCTCAGAATAGTAAGGGGTGAAAACACTGCACAATCAGAAGATAAGATGAGCACAGAAACAACAAATAGCATAATTTCTTTTTAAAAAAATATTTACCTAAAAGATAACATTTGTTGAACTGGCTTTGCACGAGGCATCTTCATAAAAAGTGAATTTGCAAAAAACTCCAACCTTCGCCTAGCCTCAAGATTTCTAGGAACGCTTGACGCAGAGTCTTTGATAGTCATCAATGAATATAATCTTTTGACTTGCATTCTCTGCATATACTCAAAGTTGGTAAACTCATAGTAAGGTTTAAGGCAAGTGCATAAAGAAAAATATAATAAGAGCATACTAAGTCTGCATTTGGCCATTTTAACTTTTGAAACAAATGCCCTTCTTCTCTAGCTTTGGTCAGTATACTCCATGTGTCATAATTATCCCTACATAAAATAAAAAATCAGCAATAATCTGATAACTAATGAAATGGAGAGAGGGAGAAGGGTAGAAATTCTGACATGCCCAAGGGAGAAATCTATTTCTAAAAATGCTATATATAATCGTACAAGAAAAACTGTAAAACAACCTCATATTTAAAGAAAGGACATCATGTCGTACAACATCATAGAGATCCTGAACAGCCCTAACTGCACCTCTTTCAAGATCAGGTGTTTCAGTCTCTTTCTATAAGATGCCAATACAAAGATGAGTTAAAACTCAACTGTTAACTTCCAAGTAAAAAGAGCTGAATTAAAAAGAAATACATATAAACAAGAAAAACCTCCCCAATTGGTGAGGTTGAGTTGGAGAAAATGTTATCCAAGATTAATGTAAAAATTGATTTGATAAACAGAATAATAGAACTTAAAAGATTAAATACAAACCAGAATTCCCATCAGTGCAGTTATTCTTGATATCACAACAGCCAACTTATTTAGTCGAAAGTCCCTAGGAATACTCCTTTTTGTGATACTGGCATCAATATCATCATATATCCTTTCAACCCTGATACAACAGCAACGATTGCAAATGGATAACAGCGCATAAGTCAAACTATCAAATATAAAACTCATCATATAATCAAAACATGGTACCATGCACTTCAACATTACAGCAGTTACATACCACATCCTTCCAGCATCATCTAATACTTCTGTTAAAATGAGTTTAATAGCATAGTAACACTCCTGAACTGCATACATCATATATTCATCGCGTGAAATCCTATCGAAAAGCTCATCTTGAGTATCATCTTTATTCTCAACAGCAATATCCCTGGCCAAAAATATCTACATAATTGTGCACAATAACTAATCAGTGAACCATAACAAAACATAAAACAATGAGCATATTAGAGTATAGTAGATATAGCATTTTAGCTTGATCCTTAGCAAGAAGTGAATGGAACCTTGAGTACACAACAAAAAGTGTTGTTTTATCACTTTCTGCCATAATAGACAAAAAGTGTTGTTTTATCACTTTCTTCCATAATAGTTAGTAAGATAGTTACTTCGTCGAGCTTATCTAGCTGATAAATAAACATATTATTACATACGCATTCTGTTACATAGTAAATATTTCTCTCAAATAACACAATCCTAATATTCAGATTCTGTCATTTTTCTCTCTGAATATTGAGTTTAGCAGAGCACAGATACTAAGCAAAGGCTGTATAAAATTATATGAAAAACAAATTGTGATAACGTGGATGGTTACCCGTAGAATTTGGGTAATGCCTAATTTAACCTCAAACAATAGCTCAAGAGATTAAGGTTGCCCATACCTTATATGTACTAATTTGACCATATCTTTAGTCAATGTGGGATTTCAATATACCACCTCAAACCCACACCCATACAACTCATACTCTAGCATGGAAAATGAAGGTAAATCAATAATAGAGAAAACAACACAATCTCACCACCGTGATTGGAAATTTGGAAAGTAAACTAATGTGAGTGCTCCATTAACATATCTAAGATAGACTCTAATACCAAGTTGCAAATTTAGAATATATAACTTGTCTTTCATAACAAAACGTTTGTTTTTAAAGAAACAAACAATCTGTATTTCTTTTATATTGCAATAAGTAATACATGAAAGATATTTATAGAATACAAGGGACAAATCACTTTAAATGCTAATTCTAAATGCTAATTATAAATATGGTAGAAGACAACTAATTGCTAATTATTAATAGCTAATTACTAATTATTATTCACAATGAATATTACGCTGAGCTGTATAACAGAATCTGTTGATTATGTACTTATCTCTCTAATAACTTCCAACACTCCCCCTCAAGCTGGGGAAAGGATATCTATCATCCACAGCTTGCAAGTAAGATCTCGAAACCGCTCCAAGGAAAGTCCTTTGGTGAACACATCAGCTAATTGAGGTCATGATGGGACGTACTGTGTAGAAATAAGACCATTATTCAATTTCTCTTTGATGAAGTGTCGGTCTATCTCTATATACTTTGTTCTGTTGTGTTGGACTGGATTGTGAGCAATACTAATGACAGACTTATTATTGCAGAAAAGTCTCATAAGAGCTTCATACTTTATTTTCAAGTCATCTAGAATGATCTTCATCCACAACAGTTCACAAACTCCTTGAGCCATGGCTCTAAACTCTGCCTCTACACTTGATCTGACAACTACATTTTGTTTCTTGTTCCTCCATGTCACTAAATTTCCACCTAAGAACATACAATCCAGTGGTGGATCTTCTATCAACAATCGACCCTGCATAATCCGCATCAGTATAAACCTCCATAGACAGCTGCTCACTTTTCTTGAACAGTAGTCCTCTTCCTGAGCTCATCTTTAGATACACCAAGATTCTATCCACTGCTTGTAAGTGCCTCTCCTGTGGGTCATGCATGAATTGACTGACAACACTAACCGGATAAGCTATGTCAGACCTGGTGTGAGATTGATAAATGAGCTTTCCCACAAGTCTCTTATATTGAGCTTTATCAACCCTTGG